AACTTTTATTTTGTTTTGGAACGTTTACTAAAAAACATTCATGGTCACTGATTTGGGTCTTCAGTAATGATTTTAACACTTCCGGAACATGTCCAGCGTTAAGGTTACCTAAGTACTATGGGTGCTGGTCACGGTAGCCGAGCGGTTTAAGGCATGTACTGTCTTCACTCGCTTGGAAATCGGGATCATGGGTTCGAATCCCACTCAGGGCATGGATGTTTAGTTTGTGTGTGTGCGTTTTTCTGTTTGTGTACAGGTAGAGGCCTTGCGACTAGCTGATCACCCGCCCAAGGAGTCCTACCGAATGTGTAAGATCTAGAAAAACCGAAGTGAACGGAGAAGTTCATGGAGGTAGGCCTAGGCCCACTGGGGCTGTAGTGCCAAGGAAAAAAGAAGTACTGTGGGTACGGTAACCGGTTAACATACGTGCATGTACACAAACAAACCCAATCTGAAGTTGATCATACTTGACTTTCTTGCGCCCAGTTTCAGACGTATTAAATAAAAAGTAGTAAATACTTGCAGTACGGGCTCCAGAAAGTGTACGCGTATTTTCATTAACACCTCGACTTCCATTATTTTTTATATTTTCTGCGATTACAATACTCCGACCTGTATTAGGAAGTATCAAATTACAACTTGCTCTACGTATTATGAACAAAGTGGTGAACGTTCTTGCGGGCCAGACTGCATTATTTTCATGGTTCACTGTCACGCGTCATACTATCATAGCTCAAGCGGTTAGTCGCTGGCTTCCCACCGCGGCGGCCCGAGTTCGATCACGGGTCTGGTCAAGTGGGATTTGTGGTGGACAAAGTGACGCTGGGGCAGGGTTTCTCCGAGTGCTTCGGCTTCCCCTGCCAATCTTCATTCCACCAATGGCGCCACAATCACCCTCACCTATCATCTGGGGCTGGTACAATAGACCAGAAGTGGCCGCAGTACAAGGGACTTAGTCCCACCCCACTAGCAATAGAAAAAATCAATGCCCGTACATGTAAACAGAGAATCACGTGACATCTTAAAGGTCTAGATGGAAAATGCTTGTGAAAATATTCTAAAATTAATGAATTGGAATTTGTGACGGCGCAGTCACTTGACTGCTGGGGGACTGACTGAATGGCGCAAGTTCATTTCGCAACAGAACAATGAGATTTAGAACGTTATATGCATTCACTACATAAATGAACGCAAAAAGGGGAGGGTATGTCTGTCAGTCCGCCGGTCAGGGTAGCCGAGCGGTCTAAGGCATGCACTGTCTTCGCTCGCTCGGAAGCCGGGATCGTGGGTTCGAATCCCACTCAGGGCATGGATGTTTGTGTGCGTTTTTCTGTGTTTGCGTACAGGTAGACGAGCTGATCACCTGCCCAAGGAGTCCTACCAAATGTGTAAGATCTAGAAAAACCGAAGTGAACGGAGACGTTCATGGAGGTAGGCCTAGACCCACTGGGGCTGTAGTGCCAAGGGAAAAATGTCTGTCAGTCCGAATGTTTCACCTCCGAAATTATTCAGAAGTTTGAGGTTCTCACAGTGGTAGTTATGAAGAATTCTGTTTTCTTGGATATAATGCCGTGACTTTCATCGGACTACACGGCGTTACATCCCAGAAAATTGAAGTCTTTTTACTCAAAGAATTTTTATTAAATTTTATGTGGGAGTCTACATTAAATTCGTAAGCCGAATGAAATATTTTTTCATATGTGCCAGATATAGGCACTACCTTAGTTAGTTAGTTAGTTATTTAGAGAGGGTGGGTTTCCCCATGCACCGCGACCAGTTTGATCTATTGTGCTTCCCTCTATGATATTCTACCAGTCTCTTTACCCTACCGATAAATGGTGCGTACCATCAGTCCCGCCGAGCAAGCGAGTTCGGCCACTTGCTTAGCGGTGTCTATAATGCTTCCCCCATCTATCAGAGGCCTTAGAGACTATTGTTGGGCGGGAAACGTCCTGGAATTTGGCTCAGTGATCCCCTTTGGGGATATGAGGTTCTTTTACGTGCCGTAAAGTTACGACACGGGACACACAGCTTAAAGTCCCTCCCGGAGGTCTTGTTCCCTGAATTTTTCCGCCCTTAAAAATTCGACGACCTCCGCCGGGTATTTGAACCCGCGTACCACGAGTCATGAGGTGGGAACGTTACCTCTAGACTACGGAGGCCGCTTTAGCCACTACCTCACATGACGATCTATTCCAACTGAGTCGACTACCTAAGAAAAGGGAAAGTTATCATGCGAAAGTGTGAGCATGGCAAAAATATAGCCAGGCAAATGCTAGAATAGTACCTTAAAGTAGGTCACGACCACTTCCTTTCCAAATTCATGATTTTAATAGGACTAATCCTTTTATCTGCCGTTAAATAACTTAAGGAGAAACGTGTGAAAGCAGTTCACTTGTTTAGAAATGCTGATGTAAGCGAACAGACTAACAAATAATATGTCGATATACAAGAAGTGTGCTGTAGTACCATTAATCTCTCGGTTCAATACGCATACGACCTCGGGAATAGAAACTTTCTGTAATAGACCCTATTATGCATTTACTAATTGGTCACAACTGTGACATCAGCAGAAAGGTAACAAGCGAGAGGCACTGTAGCAAACTTACGACCCACGTGTCTACTAACATCCATGCTAATGTAGACAATGTATCGTTTAATTGGCTCTCCACTTTACACAATTGTTCATGCCTAATTTATGTCACTTGGATGTTATGTGTTCCTGTAAATTAACGTCCCACGCTTTTGCTACTAGGATTGTAGAAACAACGGCTGACTCTGCTACCAGGATGAAAAATGTACTAGGCGACGAGTAATTTGGCGCGGCTGTATAACAGTCATAGAATATGGTCGCGTGTTACCCAGGTAACGTTGTTGCGTGTTTCCCCGGAAACCTACTTCTGACAAACCAGTTGTCACGTGTCTCATAGGTAATGCGACGAATTCATTTAGAATAGCGAACATTGTCAAAACGTTATCAGGCAACTGTGAACTGTGTGACAGAAAATGAAGTATTCCCAGGGTTTCCCACAACATACACGTATCACAACATACACGTAATTAATTATGTGATATACACACAGTTCTCTCTGCTGGTACCTAACAAGCTGACTTGTTGAATTCTAGCCTATTCTTTTGAAATGACTATTCTGGACCATAATCACTTCAAAATGCCATTTCAGATCCAAACTTGAAGCTGCTTGTGAAACTTAACCAACCCATACTTTCTGGGCTCGCCATAGCTCAAGCGGTTAGTCGCTGGCTTCCCAACGCGGCGGCCCGGGTCTGGTCAAGTGGGATTTGTGGTGGACAAAGTGGCGCTGGAACAGGTTTTCTCCGAGTACTTCGGTTTCAACTGCCAATCTTCATTCCACCAACTGCTCCAGAATCACCCTCACCTATCATCTGGGGCTGGTACAATAGGCCAGAAGTGGCCGCAGTACAAGGGACTTAGTCCCACACCACTAGCAATAAAAAGAACCCATACTTTGCTTATGGTAGGTTTCACACACAACAGATACTAATGGCAATTCTGCCACGATCTGGTCAACAGCAATTAGAAGGTTACATCGCCATGACTCGGTTACGAGACTCTCGTTTATGTAATGTGGGTGTACCACATGGAAATCAGCGAAGGGAAGTTGTAACGAAAGCAGCGTACCCTTACATTGGATTAACCCATGATGTTTTATCTTTCTATAGGTCAACGTATCTGCACCGTAGGTACCCCTGACAGATAGAAAGCTATCCCTGTAACAGACCATGGAGATCCATAGGGTTGTGAGACGTTGAGGGTCCCACATTATCTAGATTCTAGAAAATCAGCTCACAGATGGCGGTAAGGCTGTCAGCCCTACACGAACCCTGACAGGCACAACTCTGAAATACAAATTGCCTACAGCTATACGTAAGAAAGCCAAAAAACTATGCAGGTTCTATTTTATATGTTTTGTGGAATGTCGTATGAGAGACAACCACTAGTTGAACTGTCCTATAGGATTTATTGCAGCTGTACAGTATACACAGACGGATAACAACAATAGTGAACTGCTTGAACACTGAACTAGATTTGTAGAACGGTAGAACTGTAACTGTAACTCGGTGTATCTTCCTATGTAGCTTAGAGTCGGACATATAGAAAACATGTCACTGTCAGTATTGTTGTAGGCTTTGCCTAGCAACCGCTGTTTACTCTTTGTTGCTAAGCAATGGCGCTTGCGTTGTCACGCTTGTTTGAATGTGGGCAGCTCCCACAGTTTTATTATCCTTTCTGTTTACGAAAGAAGTGAGTTGAAAACACGAAGTTCAGTGAGTGAACTGATTGACCATGGCCTGGATGGTTAGTATTCGATTAGCAGCAGGGAAATGGATTTTTCTGTTCACCACCGCGTGAAGATCGCCCCTGAGGCCTGTCCAGTGGACACTACTATCTTTCTCTTAGTGTCACCGTAACTATTTATCTGCATCTAATGACCCAGTGGTTTAGTGATCAGAGTTCCTGGCTGCAGATCCAGAGGTCAGGGTTCGATTCCCGGCGCCACCAGATTTTCTGAGAAGTAGTAGGTCTGGAACGGGGTCTACTCAGCCTCATGAGGATAATCGAAGAACTATATCAAGGAAATAGCGGTTCCGGTCTAGAAAATCGAAATTAACGGCCGTGGGGATTCGTTGCGCTGACCACGTGACACCCTCTATCCGCAAAATTTGGCACTAACTTTGCCCACATGCGGCGGTCGCTCTGTCGATATAGTTAGCCTGCGGACTAAAGCCACCGATTTTGTCTGTTTTTTGTAATGACGTGATTAATAGTGGGTGGAGTTTTTGCTTGCATCCCCAAATATGACATCACGGCGTGGTACCTAGGCTTTTGTGTAATATTAATGTGTAGTGTAACGTGTGGGCTGCGTGACGCGACACGAATAAGTTGCGTGGGTCTTCGGACCGGAACGAATTCTTTTATTGGACGCTTATTTGTACTCACACTCGTACAGTTACGCACGCTATTACACCGTTAGTACACTCTTGAGCTCTTCTGCGATGTCTGAGCACAACTTGCTCCTAGAGTCGAATCCAAAACTGTGAGTGCAAAACTCAGAATCTCTTGTGATGCTTGTCATACTCGTGATACTTAACTCTCGCTGGAGCTACACTTCCTTTCATATTCAGCGTTCGGACGGGATAGGGAATACCTTATCGAAGGGTTAATTTCGTCCGTTGTTACGCAACGAACAATCCGTTGCTTAGGAAATGCTAGCCTTACTCAATACAGAACACCTTGTAGAAGTGTTTGGTTTCATCCGTTGTTATGCAACGAACCCTCTGTTGTTCTTTCGTTTCCGGGAAACGCGTTTGTTGCTTAAGGTGTTCCTAGGCAACGGCCCACTGTTATTGCGTTTCCATGGAAGTATTTCTTCCGGATTCACGGCATGCGACAATATAGTCTAAAACTAGATGCAACAAACGGAAGCAATCTCTAATAAGGACACCGATTGCTCCGCGAACCGAAGGAGAAGTGACTGACATGGGGTGTTTTCTCTCGAAACAGAGATTCGCTATGGCGTACCTGAAGTGGCTGCTTCTGGGCTGTGTAACACTGAGCATTGTGCTGCTAATGGTCCACGAAACAGTCTCTCGGACAAACACGGGGGGTATCCTGTACCCTCAGGAGTCAGAGTCACGGGATGTTCGTTCCCTTGACGGCATCTGGAACTTCCGCCTCTCCCCAGAAACAGACCCACTAACGGGATTCCGGGAGCGCTGGTTCCAGAAGGATCTTAGCCAGGTAAGTTTTTTTTTTTACGGGGCTCTCCGCTATTGTAAAGACAGGAGCACATTGAACGCAACATTAAATTAATTTCCCTTGTATGTTGTCACATATTCACCAGATAAAAAAATTTTAACATGAAATCTGTAGATATTAGCGGAATTTATGTTCAAATATTTTGTAACATGAGACATTTTGAGAAACTTGTTAAAACAAATTTGAGCTGTTTTATATGTAAAGTAGACGCTGTGTTACGTCAATGGTAGCCAAAATTAAATTGTACTTAGAGCTCTTTGTCCAGATATCCAGGACCAAATTTCGTCTAAAAGCGTCAAGTAGATGAAACATGCGCCAGGACGGGCGTCCTAATTTCGAACTGATTTTACTCATGAAACGCCGATCACAGTGGCCGCGCGGTCTAAGGCATGAAATGTCTTCGCTCGCTCTAATGCTGGGATCGTGGGTTCGAATCCCATTCAAGGCATGGATTTCTGTGTGCGTTTATTCTGTTTGTGTTGTCCTGTGTGTAGGTAGCGGCCTTGAGACGGGTTCATCCCCCGTTCAAGGAGTCCTACCGACTATGTAAAAAAGATTATGAAACTGTAGAAGAGACCAGGGCCCAACAAGGGGCTGTAGAGTCATTGAAAAAAGAAGAAATAAACAAGTATGTCCACTGCATGATGAGCCTGTACTCATATCGGAAGAGCTGTGTTCAGTCTAGTTTAATTACAACGTAAAAAGGCGGACTCACCTACCTGCAAAATAAATATAGCCGCAACCTACATGTACAGCTCTCTGACGGTGCACTGTTCTACCACAATCTCAGCAAACTCATTACGATCTTACTGTATACAAATATGTTATGTATATGCGATCCTCCAATAATGAGGCCCATAAAATTAATTTACATTCAGGACGAACTTGAAGCCATCATCAGCGGTGCTAATGAACTGGATATGTGAAGATCATACAAGCGTAACATTACGGATCCCACTGTATGGGAAATTCGACCTTCTGAACGCATTTCTATATTTCTCTTCTTATATGTTTGGCAACTAATTTATGATTAATATATCCGCAAAAAATAATTAGAATCATGAAGTCAAGGAGGATGAGGTGGACAGGGCATGTAGCACGAATGGGGGAGAAGAGGAATGCATATAGGATATTGGCGGAAAAGTCAGAAGAAAAGAGACCACTGGGAAGACAAAGGCGTAGGTGGGTGGACAATATTAAAATGGATCTTACAGTGATGGGCTGCGATAGGATGGATTGGATTGATCTGGCTCAGGATAGAGCCCAGTGGGGGGCTCTTGTGAATACGGTTATGAACCTTCAGGTTCCATAAAATGTTAGGAAATTCCTGAGTAGCTGCAGATTTGGCTTCTCCTCAAGAAGAGCTCAGTTCCGTAAGTAAGTATGTATAGCCGACGAAGCCCAAGCTCAACCCATTCCAATGCAAGCATTGCGATCCTCCATTGAGGCGAAGCAACTTAACAAGTTGCATGAGGCTGAAACTGGGACAGATGTGACGTCTTACTTTCTGCCCATGTAAAATGCAAAATCGCGGTGCGAATTCAGTATTTTCAAGGCGATAATGACGTTCAGGATCAGCCGCTGTGACTCAGTAATGTGAGTGGTGAGGGGCCTTGCCCAGTTCCAATTCGCGTGCAAGTCACTTGAACAACATGCTGTTCATTCAGCCGAAACAAAATGTTTTGGTTCCTTATTAAGGTTATCTTCAGTTCCCATTATGCCTTCAAGGTTAAACATTCTTTCATATGAGGCATGAAAATTTTCTCACACGCTTACATTTTTTATTTATTTATTTATTTTCTTACTTTTTATTTCATATGTTTTTTCGTTCATGTCTTATTTCTCTTAAGATCTACAAGCCTATGACGATGCTACATTAGTACAAATAATATGTTTTTGGACATTATTCATCGTCCTGTCTTTATCTAAAAACCGTCCTGTTTAGTCTATATCTTCGGACCTTACGGACTAGCTCTATCGATTGGGCCCAACTGAGTAGGTTTTACCTGAAGAAGGAGACAGAATCCAGTCTCGAAAACGTTGTGTTTTGAAAAATAAAGAGGACGGGTTTTAGAAAAAGTCAAGACGATGGATAATGTCCAGAACTTAACATTTGTTCTCATTTCTCCTAATTCAACTTCCCACACCACGGATCTGCTGTTAGCCAAGTTCTCGCTATAATCTCTGTTAAATGCGAAATTAAATAACTATATCATAAATATAAGTAAAAGTAAAGTAAGTAAAGTTATCCCTGTAACAGGCCGTGGAGGCCCATAGGGTTGTGAGATGTTGAGGTTCCCATATTATCTAGTCAATCAGCTCAAAGATGGCGGTAAGGTTGTCAGCCTTGCGCGCCGGCAGCGCTTTACTCCCCAGAAAAATTATTTAATTAATTTCTGGTACTCATTTCTGTTAGAGGCTGAGTAAGCCCCAGGGCCATACTGCGGCTGCAAATATTAGGTCAATTGAAAAAATTCAATGACCTCATCGAGATTTGAACCCGCGACCTTCCGGATTGTAGTATAGTGCCTCAACCAATTACGCTACCGCGTGCTCCTTTTAAATATACTGCATACAATTCCGCAGAACAAATTTAATTTCAATGCACGTATTTCATAACTAAGAAGAAACGCCTAAATGAATCATTATACTGACCCGCCTCACTTTTGTGACGAAGAAGTTGCCGAACAGAAAAAAAACATGTCTGATCTACAGTGCAGAAGGGGCCGCGCCATAGCTCAAGCGGTTAGTCGCTGGCTACGCACCGCGGCGGCCTGGGTTCGATCCCGGGTCTGGTCAAGTGGGATTTGTGGTGGACAAAGTGGCGCTGGGGCAGGTTTTCTCCGAGTACTTCGGTTTCCCCTGCCAATCTTCATTCCACCGATTGCTCCACAATCACCCTCACCTATCATCTGGGGCTGGTACAATAGACCAGAAGTGGCCGCAGTACAAGGGACTTAGTCCCACCCCATTAGCTATAAAAAAACCGTCTGTCACGTTCAGAAATCGACAAAATACAGCCCGTCAGACAATCTCATCCCGCCCGCAACAGCGATAAGGTTTTAATAATAAGACGCTCGCCAGTTTATATTTCTACGTATATACGCAGGACAGGAAATATTATTATAACATCCAAATAAATATGTATCGAGATTTTGACTGAAATGCAAGGTTTTCGGTCTCTATTATAAGTATTTGCTGTTTTAATTTACTGCACGATTGATATTATGTGATAGTGAAACTTGGTCTCAACCAATGGCAAGACGGCATCTGGGAACAGGGTGCTGAAGAGGTACGAGTATTTGGATCTCAGAGAGGAAGTAACAGAAGGATAATTACATAATGCACAGCTTCAGAATTTGTACCCTTCACCTTATATAAGAAAATGAAGATATTTCCTGCTCTCATGGAACTCCAAAGTTCATCACCTTGTTCACAAAACCTGCCATTAATTCCTATCGTGAGCCACTTCAATCCTGTTCGTAGTGACACCCTATTTACCTAAGATACGTTTTAAAGTCGAAGAGTTCTATCTTCTGGGACATGACATCATGTAGTTTGTTGAAAGGAACATGTCTCCTCCATCTTCAGGTCGGAGAATATTGTCAAGCAAGAAATTAACATGAAGGTGGTAGCAATTCTTTTGTTATTCCCTATCTACGCCTAATTTTCCCAAACTGGTAACTTTCCTTACAGTTCTCCGACCAAATTCTTCATTCGTTTATAATTTAACCCTTGTGTACTACATGTCTGACCCATCGTATCATATTCGATTTAATCTCTTACAAATTTCAAGTGAAGAGTACAAATTATGAAGCTCCTCAATACGTAATCATCTCAGTCCTATTGTCTCTTTTATTCTATGTCTCAATATTCTCCTGAGCACTACGTTTACGATCTATACTCAGCGCGAGACACAAGTTTCATACACATATAAAACAGCAGGTAGAATAAAATTTAATTTTCAGGCTCTACGTGGGACAATGAAACAATAAACTTGACGTTAATATTTTCAGACAGGAAGGACCATACCCATGCCAGTTCCTGCCAGCTACAATGACGTCACAGAGGATAAAGCTATTCGAGACCACGTTGGATTGGTGTGGTACGACAGAACGTTCTACGTTCCCGAAGCCTGGCGCCAAAGTTCCCTTGTCTGGTTACGTTTCGGTAGCGTTCATTACGCTGCCCAAGTCGTAAGTACCGCTAAACTACGCTACGATGCACAGCAATTTGTGGGTGGGCAAGCGATTATATTTCATTCATTTAAATACCGCGATAACCAGTAATACGAAGGTTCAGTCTGGATAGATAAGCCTTTACAGCGCCTAACTCAGTAGAAAGCGAAGAAATTAAATATCAATCCTGGATTATCGTACTGTGACGTATAGCGCACGTTAAAGTTACCTGACCTACAGAGCCGCCGATCACTGCGACCGCACGGTCTAAGGCATAAACTGCCTTCGCCCGCTCAAACGCTGAGATTGTGGATTCGAATCCCACCTGAGGCATTGATGCCTGTGTTCGTTTATTGTGTTTGTGCCGTCCTTTGTGCAGGTAGCGGTCTTGCGACGGGCTGATCCCCTGTTCAAGGAGTCCCACCGGCTGTGTATAGGAGCAACAACCTGAAAAAGCGGCCGAGGTCCAACCAAGGGCTGTAGATCCATGGAGAGAGAGAGAGATCTACAGCGCCAGTACAGTTTTAATTCAGTCATTCCCATACTGACTGTTTAGTAAAATAAATTATATATTGATATGTTTCTATGGGCACCGCCTCTATGGTCTATTGGTCAGCGCTTCTGGCTACAGATCCAGAGGTTCGGATTCGATTCCCGGCGCTACCAGTTCTTTTCTGAGAAGTAGTGGGTCTGGAACGGGGTTCACTCAGCCTCGTAATGATAATTGAGGAGCTATTTCAAGGAAACAGCGGCTCCGGTCTAGAAAACCGAAATTAACGGCCGTGGGGGTTCGTTGCGCTGCCCTCACGATACCCTCTATCCGCAAAATTTGGCACTAAACTTCGCCGACAACCGGCGGTCGCTCGGTCGGTATATTTCGCTTGCGGACTAAAATTACGGAGTTTGTTGTTTTGTTATATTTCTATGGTAGTATATTGCTGACTTCAGTAACGATTCCAATGCCGGTAGGATCATGTCCTGAAGTTGACTATGATGATGATGAAGATGATGATGATGATGTAGGTTGTATTACTTAAAAGTCACAAATCGGTTTATCTGTTACGAAAGGGCAGGAGCGGTTTCTTTCAAGAACTCTCTGAAATACAGAAGAAACTCCGACCAAAATGTCCGAAGGTGTTATTTCACATGCTTTCTTCTGAATGCCTCTTATCCAGAATATACGAGTATTACAGAACTGTCAACCATTCAACATTGACAAATGATTATTGGTTCCTTATGTAGAAGCTATCATGAAGTTTACTTCGTAAGCTGAAATGAAATGTCTAGCCTATCAATTTGCATTATTACATCCACTGGACGTTCAAATTTATTTTAGTTTGAAGAGAGCAGTCTTCTGGGATGTGGCGCCGGGTAGATATTGTGTTAACCGACGTTTCGGAGGAACGTCGGTTAACACAATATCTACACGGCGTCACATCCCAGAAGATTGCTTTCTTCGTGGTCACCGCCGTGAAAACCTCAAATCTTACTTATTTTAGTCTGTTGCTTAAAGACGCTGTCATATCGAGACTGCACAGCGACGGGGAAGAAGTTTTGGAGGGAAGTGGTCGTGGCTTCATTGAGACACTATAACGGCATTTGTCTCTAGGGACTGAGGAAAACCACGAAAACCCCTCAGTCGGGACAGCTGACGACTCGGCCGAGATTCGAACTGAGTACTTCCGGAATGCAAGTCCAGAGTGTTAGTCACCGCTGATCACCCGTAGTTGCTGGCTTCCCGCCGCGGCGGCCCTGGTCAAGTGGGATTTGTGGTGGACAAAGTGGCATTGGTGCGTTGGCGTTTTCTCCGAGTACTTCGGTTTCCCTTGCCAATCTCCATTCCACCAAATTCTCCATCATCATAATCACCCGGGGCAGGCTACAATAGGCCAATCAGTCGTCGCCGTGCTGAGTCGACCCAGTTGGACTCCACCTCCCACTAAACGATTTTTTTTTTTTATTTTACCGCTGGTCTCTCGCCCTAAGGGGGAAACACAGATTGAGTTTGTTTAAAATGAGAGAACACTGGGACCTGAGTCCGAGGAAGAAACAGGAGGAAGCTGAAACTAAGCAGTGAAAACTTCATAATTTGTACACTTCACAGAACATTATTAATGTAATAAAATCAAGAATGTTGCGATGGGCTAGATACGATGAATGCATGGAGAGGCGAAAACTGCACACAAAATATCAGATGGGAAAGTTGAAGAGATCACTCAGAATACCCCGATGTAGATTGGAAGATAATATTAAAATTTATTTGAAAGAAATAGGTTATGGGGGTGTGACCCACTTCATTTCCCTCAGGATATGGTCCACTGGTGGGCTCTCGTAAACGCCGTAATGAACCATTGGGTTCCATGAAATATGAGGATCTTGTCTACCTTTGCGACAACAGTCTTCTCAAGGGCTCCGCTCCGTGCAATCATATCTACCAATATATAATAATATGTCATGACAGAATCAAGGAATTCAATGATGCAAATCTAAGGTTAGGTTCGACCAACCAAAGAAATCAGCGGACCGCAAGAACCGGCTTTCTATTCTAGTTTAGCACGCGCGTCACGTGATCCCAGAGATTTATCGATGAAGTGAACACGTGGAGGAACTTTTAATTGCTCGATAAGCTCAATTCTTTGCTTTCAAGTCAGGTTGATGACAAGCGGCGCGTATTTGTCAATCAGTCATCAAGTGGACAAACGCCCTGAAAAGGTTTCTGAAATATTAACTGAGAAAACCGAGGACACTCCTACGAAACGGCACTCATATAATATTTTTTATATTTTAGGTAATGCGACGGATATTTTCTGCGGCCATAACTGACAATTTTCAGGTAGAGGGATCAATACTAACAAACCTAAATGTTATGTCCCATAATGTGTCAATTTTTTTTATTCCTTTTTATCTTTGGCATTACAGCCCCAATTTGGGGCTTGACCTACCTCCATGAAATTCTTCCGTTTCACTTCGGTTTACTAGATCTTAAGACATTCGGTTGGACTCCTTGGGCGGGTGATCAGCTTGTCGTAAGGCCTCTGCCTGTATACAAACACAGAAAAGCGCATAAACACTAAACATCCATGCCCTGAGTGGAATTCGAACCCACAATCCCGGCTTCCGAGCGAGCGAAGACAGTGCATGCCTTAGACCGCTCGGCTACCGCGACCGGCCATTTCATGACATAGGCCTGTATAATTTGATAGGAATTCAATGAAATGTAAGTTCAGGCAAGTCAAATGAGCATAATCATCGAGTGTCTGAGTTCCACGGAAAAAAGAAAATTTCGTCTCATTTTATATAATTATAATAATCAACTCTTAATAAATTTAATACATTGTCAAAATGTTCAGCAGTTCCTTTTAAGAAGTACGCACAGTGCTCTTAGAGATGCTTCAGAAATTACGGTAAGGCAAACCTTGCAGAAGACTTTAAGGAAGAATAATGAAATCTGATAAAATCCGACAGGCTGGTGTATCATTCAAGATTAGGAATTACTTAATAAATCCATTCCAAGACAGGGAAAATAATAAAAAAGTATGATAATGTCTACTTTTCAACTGGTTGACATATGTCACGTTCTAGACGAGCATGTAACTCTGCCAATAGCGACCTTAGAAATAAACTGTTTGTATAAACCTGCTAGGCTGCGTGTTCTAGGAAGGATGTCTCATTCCATAAGTATGAGAAAATTTCTGTTTTTCTGCTATCCTGAAAATATTTCTAATTTAAGTATTTGCCTTTTCTCCTCATCACACGATACGAAATTGCTAACGGTCTAGATACATGACAAAACAGCAGCAAATAGAACTGCGGACATAATGAAAATTGAGGTTATGATTTTAAAAGTTAAGGTTAGTTAATAAAAACTCTGTTAAAAACATTTGTTAACCTTACTGGTATAAAGGAGTATTTCGCTTCCTTAAGTATTTACTTTCACAAGGATAAGTAGGTGAGTCAAATGAAAACCGTAAAACTGAGATAAAAATTCGAAATATCGCGCCATTGTCCTACTAATATAAATTATTTATTAAAGGTTTTACATGGAATAGGTACATAAGAAATTACAGTTTTATAATTACCTACTTCCCTTCTTTAGATTTAAGCATCTTGAAATGATATCTCTCAATCTGCATATGACATCTGGAGTGCTTGCCCACACTATGTTACTAGCTTGGATTCCAATTTGCGCAGCTCATGCAGTCCAAAGGCTGACATCTGTTTAAAATGTTATTCTGATATCTTTCCACTGTTCGCAATATAAAAGAATCAAATTAGAGCCTTCACTTCCGGATAATTTACCGATTCCTGAGTCGCCATAAACGCATTTATATGAAAATACATTCATCGGTTGCCTTGATCGGGATTTTCAGTCATTGTTTTGCCCATGTCATTTTCTGTCCTTGGCCCCTTGATCTTGACATCCTACTTATTTGCCTTGAACTCCTATCCATAAAACTTAACCCTTTACAGCCCAATGGTTACTGCATGTACCACCGGTTTTAACATACTAGAACTTTGCATTCTGCCCACAGAGTGCATTTAAGTGTTCCGTATGGTTCTCACAATAAACAGCGGGGGTCGAATACCTCCACCGTGACCCTGCGAGTCATAGGAGGCGACGAAAAGGGAAGTCTCGCATCTGAGACAGTAAAATATGGTCGCGCGTACCAAGGGACTCGGACCCGAGAAAGACTGTGCTGGCAAGGACCAGCAGAACATACAAAAGACAGACCCGTCCTCTCGTCAGAGAGGGCTCCCTACAGAAACAAGACCGCAACCGTACCACGGTAATAATTAATATCTGGTCATGAGCCCCAGATAGGGCTCGACACCAAGACTTACTGACTTACTGACTGACCGTCAGTCGCAATGTGACGTTGACTTTGACTATAGTTTTCCTACGCAGCAATAACCTCTTGATCATTGTAGCGGAGACGTAATGTGTTTCCTGTGAGGTGCGAAATGTTATATATTATTAAGAATAAAATCAATTTTAAAGGATTAATCCATTTAATATTGCTTTCCTTCGTGTTCATATTCATATTTACCAGTCCTACATCTTTAATAACCTTGACAGTCTAGGTTGCCTTGGTCTTAGTCCCTAAAGCTGCAGTTCTGCAGCCTAATCAAACAGTGATTTTAATTTCCGGTTTCATGGCATACCGTGACTGAAACTTGGACTTATTTTGGTGGTGATGTAGAGACGAAATCCCAAGGGGTGAACCATGGAAAGAGACGAAGCAGTAAAACATTTTCTTGAAGGGACTGAAAAATAAATGATGTGTTCACAGTAGAGCCCTATCCTTAGCCAACTGAATCCAGTTACCTCCATTACACCAAATTTCCAACAACCATTTCGATATTATCCTCCCATTTGATCTAAGCCTTCCTCCCGTGTAGCGTTTTCCTTTTTGGTTTTCCGGAAAACATTTTGTACACAAAACTTCTAATAGTTGTATTTGTCTGCGTTCATTTTTTCCTGGCAGTGGGTGAACGGACATCTTGTGATGAGTCATGAAGTGGGACACCTGCCCTTCCAGGCCGATATCACTTCAGTCGTCAAATTTGGGGCAAAGAATCGAATCACAGTGGCCGTGGACAACATCCTGCTCCAGACCTCAGTACCACAGGGCCACGTCTCCGAAGTATCGACGTAAGTGAGAAGTCACTAGTTCTGACTTGTTTAATTAGTTTTATTAGACAGGCGCAAAAACTGGCGCGAAAGCTTGAAAACAAACTGCTATTTAAGGAGCTGGCAATGTCAAGACCGTACAGTGTCGACTATGCCATGATTAATGAATGTGGAGCAGTTGTTGAAATGATAATTGGCAGGGGAAACTGAAGTACTCGTATAAAACCCGCCCCAGTGCTATTTTCTCAGCCATGAACCTCATAGGAGTACGACCTCACCTGAGATCGAACCCGGGGCGCTGAGGTGGGAAGCCTGCGAATATCCACCAGGGATATGGCACGACCTAACAAATTTTGTGGAGACTGTGTAGACCAGGGACCCTAACCCCTTCTCAAAATGGTGAAAATTACATAATCAGGAATTACAGAATAAATTTGAAATGCTTACAAGATTTTGGTCAGAAACCTTCAAGAGAGAAGACTATTTGGAAGACTTGGACATGGATGGCAGGATGTCACGTGTTAGTGACTAGACACGGCATTTGGTTTGGTAATAGGATTTTCTGAAAAATTTAAATCTTATTTACAAGTAATTATAAAGCTCTCACTAATTCGCACATTATAATTCTCGCTACAGCACAAGCCAAGTCTTCTATGTCTTCACTATATGTTGTCTGGTAACGAATCCCAACAATGTCCTCTACTTATTTCCTTACCGGCTGGCAACTCTTTATAAAATAACTCAACTATCGACGCTCAACTGAACCTCACAGTCTTGTAGTTATGACTGTTCGTTCACACACTGACTATCCCTGGCTATACCCGGCTGTCACGTCAAAGTCAAAGCAACATTACGACGGACGGTCAGTTGGCCAGTCAGTCTTGGTGTCAAATCCCTTCTAGGGCCCAAGACCAGATTTGTTTTGTCCATGTGGTGCGCCCTCTCTGACCAGAGGATGGGGCGGTCATTTGTCGTGGTCATAAAATCTACCAATCATTGGCCATTATTCTGCCTTCTCATGACTAGGCCCCATAGAGCTCTGTCATGATCTGCGGACATTTCTTCGCGACCACTTTGAACACGTCGTTCAGAGACAAGCTGTTTACATTAGGAGTTCGAACTGACTTGCTACATGTTGTTGGTGACCAGGCCTGCTGCTGTTGCTGTGTGTAGTTGCGCAGCGCCGCCGCGAAGGATAGCCCTGGAGTGGTGTGGCTGTAGTCTTGGGCGCTCTCTGCGACTTTATCTTTCTCATCTCTTCCTTGGCGTGCCTGCAGCCTCGAGAGTTGGAGGAATGATGTTCCTCTCCGTCCACTAACTTGCAGTTGCAGCGTGTCGGTATCGCTCCTGTACTGCCCTTTTCCAGCCACTCCTTGTGCAGGCGACAGCCCCCGCACACTTGCAGTTAGCCCAAACATGGCCGGATATCTGGCAGTTGTAACGCTGCGTGACACCTGTGGGAGCTCTTCGTACACATCTACCCTGAACGCAATATGGCAAAGGCTTGTCCTCGTGGGAATTTTACATCCTGTGTAAGGTTACAAGAAAATTAGAATATACAAAAGTATAACTTTGCCTGTGGTTCTGTATGGGTGTGAAACTTGGTCTCTGACATTAAGGGAGGAACATAGACTGAGGGTGTTTGAAAACAGGGTGCTGAGGAGAATATTTGGACCGAAGAGGGATGAAGTGACAGAAGATTGGAGAAAACTGCACAATGAGGAGCTTCATAACTTGTACCCTTCTCCAAGTATAATTAGAACCATCAAGTCAAGGAGGATAAGGTGGGTGGGTCATGTGGCACGAATGGGGTAGACGAGGAACGTGTATAGGATATTGGTGGGAAAGCCAGAAGGAAAGAGACACAGGGAAGACCAAGGCGTAGGTGGGTGGACAATATTAGAATGGATCTTACAGAGATAGGATTGGATGGTATGGATTGAATAGATCTGGCTCAGGATAGGGATCAGTGGAGAGCTCTTGTGAACACGGTAATGAACCTTCGGGTTCCATAAAATGCTGGGAAATTCTTCAGTAGCTGCAGAATTTGCGGCTCCTCAAGAAGGGCTCAGCTCCATGAGTAAGTAAGTAAGGTTACAAGGAAGAGGGGGAAGGTTTACTGTGGATGTTCCCTCTGCAGGTGATCAGTGGGTGGCTGACATTTGTTTAATGCTAGTAACGTCAAGAAAATCGAAGTCAGAGCCACTTTACGACTGGTGGTTTACCGTCAACGAGTTCGTCTTGGAGCCAAGCTCCTTGAGATTCATGATCACAGTCTTTTTTTATCAACTTAACCCTTGTGGTCATAGTCCTCGTGTAATATCCTTTCTGATGAGAGATGGCTGTCAACAAAGTTAAAGTCAAGTTACAACTGACGGTCAGTCGGCCAGTCAGTCTTGGTGTCAAGCCCCATCTAAGGCCTAAGACCAGATTTTTGTTACTGTGAGACAGTTGAGCTTTTGTCAATGTAGGGCGCCCTCTCTGATGAGAGTACGGGTCTGTCACTCAGCACGGTCAAAATCAGTTGTATATGTCATTTATATTTACAATTTTACATGTCAGCATTCTGTCGGTCTAGGCTTGGCACTGCAGATCATGCCCTAACTCATGTAGTTCATGTTACAGCGGTTATCTAGTCACTTGGCCGCCGCCAAGCGTAAGCCTCTTATATTTTCTGTCTCGGGCTTTACCATTTCCAATGTAGCAAACATTTACATTTTCATGATTTTGTATGGCCTCGGCTTGTTACCTGCACAATTTCATTATGTAATCATAAATGTATGGTACTTGGAAAGCCATGTGCAAATTGTAGACCTCTGTGCACCTTGAAAATTTAACAATGGTGCAGAGAACCTTGTTTTGCAAACAATGCAATTTCAAAAGATGTCCATCTACAGCAATTTCCAAGCAGGGTAAGTATAAGTCATTAGTGATCTAATTGGTGCTTTATGGAGGGTTAGTTGAATGTTAGCACTTAATCACCCACTTCTGAATAGGAAATTGACTCTAATAAACGTTCTGAAGACCTTGGCTTCGACCCTCTTATCAAAGATCATAGTGAGGTATTTTATAAGATACACAAAAGTATGTTCCTTCCATTCAATGTGAGACGAACCTCAGGTTGTCTAAGCCTGTGAGAGAAGTAGACGGCCTCCATTGATTTTGATGTTCCAGCATTTGCGCCATGTCTGAATTGAATTGAGACTGTGGTGCAAATTTCTGAGAACATAACCCTCTTTGTGATCTGTGGCACACATACAAGTGTTATCGGCAGAGACAACCAGATAAACATCTGCTACTTGGTGAGGATAGGATTCAAGTGGCTCAGCATCGGATTCAATGGTGGACTTTTTATGCCCTTATGTTTCATAAAAGCAATAAGTTTCTTGATCAGCTGAGTAGCTATTATATTTTCAAGGAAGACTTCCTTCCATGGTGTTGTTTATTTTCTCATTGTCCTGCTTTCTACTTGAGAATCTGGTTGTGATGATAAATATGTAATAATTTTCTTTCATCAATTAACCAACTAACACATGACCAAAAGTATATCTGTCCTCTGTCACCTGCTAAATATGCCACTCACTAGGAAGGCATTCTTGTTTAGAACATGAATTTTCTGTTTTTCATGAAAAATGTGATGTTCAGGGTGGCTAAAATATTGTATAATTTTGTATCAGTGACAATGGAACAAGGATTACACAGTCATACACGTTTGATTTCTTCAACTATGCTGGGATCCACAGACCAGTATACCTATATACTACTCCCAGCATTTATATTGATGACATCTCAGTGCACACTGGAGTCAGGGGTGACACAGGTGAGTGTTCCAGCCACACCAAGCATAGTCATGTAGCTGCAGCACTTCAGATATATGTTCAGGAGATACTGGGCTAAAACCTCTTTTGGGTTAACAACTATACTGACTGACAATGCCTGTGATTTTTCCTATATTATCTCCAAATAACTAGGATAGAATCATCATATAGGACACAATCATCCCCTTCCAAATCTTTATCACCTCATGACTCATGACCAGTTTCCTATTTCATTCAAAATTATTCAATCTCTCTGTCTCATAAAATCATTAAATAACTTAAGAATCAATCAATNTTATTATACTCCACAGATCCAAACCCTTCACCCAACTTCTCTTCACATGGATGCAAACACACAAACACATCTGAAAATATATTTAGAATGTAAAACTGCAGGTTTTGTGTTTAGATACAGTAAATCTACTTTCAACATAAGCACAAGGAGTCTGAACACTTTTCCATATGAAACAGATTACAATTTAACAAGAACAATCCCTGTTGTGAAAGCCTCTTCTCCCATGTCTACAATGTTTCACATGAAAGAGCTCTCTTAATAAAGCTCTGCAAAAATTCTGTTCTTATGTCTTCACAAATTTCCCACCCTCTTTTGTGATCCTGAACCAAAACACTGACAGTAAGTCTTTCTTCTTCCATATAATCACTTGTGTGGGTCACATTGTACCCATATCTGAGAAATACTAATGAAAATATGTTGTTTGGGAATAAAATGTTCATGCAAAGAGACTTGCAAATATACTTTGTGGCATTCTGTATATTAAATATAAATGAGGAAATGGATGGTATCTGACATCATGATGCAATGAATTGACCACTGACACAAAGCTTTTAGAGAATCAATAACTGATTAAATAATAACACTCCAGGTATCATCAAATACAATATAACTTATGGTGGTCTGTTGCGAGCAACAAGTCAAGGGCCTGCATGTTATGTTGATCTTTTGGATCGAGATGGCAACTATGTTATTCGGGATGCTGGATCTGGAAGGCTTCAAGGAGAGCTGGAAGTGCCTGTAGCAAGACTGTGGTGGCCCTATCTCATGGACCCAGAACCTGGCTACATGTACACTCTCCAGGTATTATGGGCCTTTAAATTAAATTTGTTATCTCTTTGCCATGCCATTTAGTTTCAATGTAACTTGTACTATAGACTGCCCAGCGTTTCAAGAACATGTTAGTCTTATGCACTGCTACAATACTTTTAAAGGAGCCAAGATTATTAAGCCAATATCTCTGTTTCAATTTCCCCATAGTAGACTGTATTGTAATTCCATTTCTCTAATAAGAAAATAATAAAAAAAAATCATAGTTCGTTGTTTGGTTGATACTTTTGTATGAACCTTCACAATAATGCTACTGACTTTCAGATTATTATAGTTTTATGACAATAAACATATCTGCTTCTCTATGGGTGCAATGCATGTAATGCAAATCTGACCAGTCAAGTACACTTAAAAAGACTATAAACATAAACATTGTTCTTCTTCTGGCTTATTTTGGACTTCATCCATCGTCTGGTATGTAAAAGGCAAAAGACCACGACGTTTCGGAGACTGGATCTGTCTCCATCTTCAGGTGGGTAGGGAAGGATAAACCTACTCAGTTGGGCCCGTTAGAAAGAGATAGTCTCAATCACTGGATTCCAGTGACCCACCTGAAGATGGAGACAGATCCAGTCTCCGAAACGTCGTGGTCTTTTGTCTTTTATATACCAGACGATGGATGAAGTCCAAAATAAGCCAGAAGAAGTACAGTATACACCATTGTCAGAATCCTTTCAAGTCTATAAACATTGTTGGTTTTCCTGTGTTAACATGATATTGCATAGGCCATACATACTACAGTGTCTTCATTATATCAGTCTACACTAGCTGTTTCTACAAAGTCAATACTCTATTGTACATTATGACAGAATAATTAATTTAAGTTCAATTTAAGTGACTACACTTCACTATGACAGTATGTTCCATATTCTCCTGCTTCCAGTAAAATGTAAAAACCCTAAAAGTGTCAAAGAGGACAGTGGTTAGCTTTCCAGCTGCTATATACAAGTACATAGGAAACAGCTTCCAGTACCAATTGGATAAGAGGTTGGATTAATCTCAGAGCCAGCCTTAACATACATGTAAAGAAAATATCCTGCTTACTCTAACAGGATCAGAACCATTGCTGTTCCACCTATAGTTAGGGTCCTCAATAACTGAGATGTGTGCATAGATTTAATTTAGTTTTAGGAAGACAGTTATTGTATCTAGGACCATTTAGTCAGTAAAGTGACTAGGAAAAAGAGGTGATTATTTTCTTTGTCATCATATCTAGATCAAATCTGGGATTCACCCAGTCTTCTATACAATGGGTACTGAAGGCTCAATCCCCAAGAATAAAGTGGCTAGAGAGCTACACTGACAAGCCTCCTTGATTTAGTAACAAGGGTAAGAATGAATGGAGCTATACTTCTGTTGCCCCATATGTCTTCTTGGCATGATGCTTAAATTCTCTAAAAGTATCCAAAGATGCAAATAAAAAGCAAGTGTACCATTTCTGTGGAGCAAAAATGTAATGACTTGGGTTGTTTCTGATGCACAGGTCAGACTAACTGCACAACAGTGGGGAATTGAAGACATATACCGGCTGCCCGTAGGGATCAGGACAGTGGAATGGAACAACACAAGTATCCTGATAAATGGTCGGGCTATCTATCTCAGAGGTTTTGGTCGACATGAGGATTCTGATGTAAGCAAGTTTGTTGTAAAGTTCCACCAATTCTTCGTTTATTTTTAACTCTTAACGGATTCAGTTAAAAGTGTAATTCAATTTATATTGTTCTAAGCTCTGCTGCCTAACTATGAATTTGAACAGAATAATAGGTGTTTAGAGCAATATCTTCCTGTATGTAATATCATGTAGTCTGGTGGAGGTCCAATGACATTGCTGTAGTATATCACTGGACTTCTATTGGACAACACAGCCTTACATCCCAGAAGATATTAATTTTAATAGTCACAACTGTGCGATCCTCAAGTTGAAGTAGATATTCCTTTAAAAGTATGGTATGGCAAGTTATTCAGAAAAAGTTCCAACATAAATTTGAGAAAAAACACAGAAGATTTCACCTTTCTTTGTCATAGATATGTAAATTTACTAGCCCAAAACATGAGTCAAGCTGGGCAAGACGGTTATGCTAATAGCACCAACATGTAGTTAGGTCCATGATGAAGTCAAATCTAACTACATGATCAGACCATCATAACCTTTTCAAATTCATTATTTCAGCAATGCTAGATTACTTGTGTCAACCATGAAATTCCCCATCATGTAACATCCTAAAGTGTTCAATTATTTCAGTCTTCTTGGGTGTGAATATTTCCTGCGCATTTTGTTCTATGCAACTGTAATTTACATTATTTCTTCAAACACACCAGTTTTCATAGCCTTCCCCCCCCCCCAAAAGAAACATGAAAATATTATTGTCATATAACCTCATATCTTGTGCTTTGTATAGGAAACATGATACCAGTTGCTGAACTCAGTGATATAAAGCATATTCAGAATGTAATCTTCTTCTAATTCTATCGCAAACCTTGTTTCTACTTGTTACTGTTATTCCAAAATGCTTGAATGTCAGTGAGTTAAAAGCCCGGTTTGTTGCTGACAGAAGACCATATTTATTTTAATTCCTTGGGGCCTAATATGGAGCCTGACATGGAATAGCAGTGGACAGGTCAAAGAACTACCTTACTAATCTAATTTGGTGAAATTTTCCAGATGGTCTTGGTCCTGGGCATCATTTAAATAAATATTTCATGGCATGAAATACCAGGAACTGGTTTGGCCAGGTGGGATGAAGTAAAGATAAATTCAAATTCAATTCTGATGTCTATAACATGAATACTAGACAAAAATATAACTTCCACCTACCCTCATCAACTTTATCAGTATATCAAAAAGGAGTCTACTTTACTGGCATAAAAGTGTTCAACAATCTGTCACAAAGTATTAAAAACTTGGGCAATGATACTAAAAAGTTTAAATCAGAGTTAAAGAATTATCTACATGCTCATTCCTTCTACTCTTTAGATGAATACTTCAATTTAAATAGAGAATGATGTAAAATTAAGTTATATTAATTTTTAAGCTAAAATTACCTGTACTTATGTATGTAACCTTTTGACTTGTTCTGTATCCAAAGGTACTAACCTGCTTAGGATTTATAGAATGTAAATAAATTCAATTCAATTCAATTCAATATAAAACTCCCCTTCATACAAATATTTGCTTGGAGAACCTTGGCCAGACAAGTGTTCAGAGCACTGGTACTTAACTGAAGCTCTCCTTTACAGCTCAGAGGCAAAGGTCTGGACTATACTCTAATTGTGAAAGACAACAACCTGATAAAGTGGGTTGGAGCCAACTCTTATCGCACTTCACACTACCCATATGCAGAAGAGATTATGGACTTCGCTGACAGGGAAGGGATAATCATAATGAATGAGTGCCCCAGTGTAGATACAGAGTAAGTTCATCACCAGCTGAATATCTGTTAATAACTATTCACTACAGCATATGTTACCCTTGTTCATCTGCTGTCATAGGTGTTGACATGAATTTCTTGTTTACTCCATTTGTTGAGACCCTCACAACATAGATGCAAGCAATTTCTCTTCTATCTAGTTCAGGGTCATGACACTATGAGGTCTGGTAGTTTATTACAAATTCTTCAGGGGTACTTATTGTGTCCATCAACATATAAACACCATCTTCAAAATGCAGGCAGTAGGTTTCTGTGCAAACTATATGGTACTACTAATTTAACTTGTCTCATTTTGGTCCGTCACACTCTTAATTACAGAGTAGATAATAAAAAGTTCAGTCCAGTGTGACACACGAGTTTACAACAGTTCAGTCCTCATTCACCTTTCATGTTTCGATTCAAAAGAAACATCCTCTGAGGCGCACCACTACGATAAGGGAACATTGTCACATAAGATATTTTAAAAATATGCACTTTAGATATGACTAATGTTCTCTATATAAATTTTGTTATCACGGTTAGTTTTGATGTTTGTCTTAGGCACTCACAATGGCATTTCCTGAAGTGTAGATTTACTTATGATGAGTTTCTTTTAGTGTATTTCCTGGTTATTCTGACTGGGGTTTTTCACTGCACGCAATATGGTGTTCATTTTTCCATACAGTAGCCTCCCAATGTATTTCAAATTTCCATGTAAGAAATTAGTTATTATATTAAAATATCTTGACCCGACATTGGGTCATGTTGTTTTCCTCCTGATGGTGGGAGATGTCGTTTATTTCTCTTGATTTTATGTTCTTATTATTAGTAGTGTAGTTCACGTGCGTGCAGTGAAAAACCCCAGTCAGAATAACCAGGAAATACACTAAAAGAAACTCATCATAAGTAAATTTACACTTCTAGAAGAGCCATTGTGAGTGCCTAAGACAAACTTCAAAACCAACCGTGATAACAAATTTTATATAGAGAGCATTAGTCATATCTAAAGTGCATATTGTTAAAATATCTTATGTGACAGTGTTTCCTTATTGTAGTGGTGCGCCTCTGAGGATGATTCTTTTGAATCGAAACATGTAATGTGAATGAGGACTGAAGTGTTGTAAACTCGTATGTCACACTGGATTGAACTTTTCATTATCTACTCTATATGGTACTACTGTTTATTTTGGGTTCGGTTATTCTTATACATGGCTCGAAAGTTAATTCTGAGCTACGATTTAGAGTAAGATTTTCTGATTACTGTTTACCTGTGTATACACAGTTCAGAATGTAAAATTTTACCTTTACTTCAGATTTGATTTTTATATTCTTGGACTGGGAGTGAACACTGAGTATGACATGAAGAAGATTATTGCTGTACAAACTTTCAGAGAGAGACATTTTACTAATCAGAATAGAGTCTGTGGATTCCTTTAAACTGACTTTATCCCTTACTAATACTGGATATGTCAGTTTCAATATTTTTAAATCCTGGATTTAACATGTATATATACAATCTGCTTATATTTATGACTATTCATGTTATTGTTTCTTTTTGGTTGATTTTGTTATGCTTTTCAATTTGGTTTGATACCTAGCTATACAGAGAATGGGGTGAGAAGCTGCACTGACCCTGAACTGATGCAGTTATGTGCATGTACTTACTAATGAAAACTCTACATTGTATTAGATGTGAGCCCGGTACTAGTCACAGTTCCACTGCATATGTCACCACATTTGTTTGACATGTCCTGCAGCATCCAAAGTTACAATTATTGCATTCTTTAATTATTCAGATGTCCACACTGTGTTGTTGCTATCTCTTAATTTAATAAGCCACACAAAGCATTATTTGGTTGATGCCAGTTCCTGTTTAACCCATTTCAGGCCTTCTGTGACCCCACACACTAGCAACAATTCTCTTTACACCAATAAGACCTTAGACTTACCACTGTGTCACATGAAAGGAAAATGGGGGGGGGGGGAATTTGAGAGGGGCAGATACACCAAGGACTATACTTGTACAATGGCTGGGCTCCAGCTAACATTACGTTCACAAATAGCAAGCACAGCATCAGTCACAATGCAGTTCCGGGGCAATGTGACTTCTCACCATCCCTACATATGTTAAAAAGGAATACTGAAATATATGGTTGACAGAATGGCTCTGTGCTGTACATAGGAAAAGCTTGAGTAACCATACAGATATGATATGGCAAAGAGTACGAGGAAGATAACAGATCCACCGGATGAAAGATGTTAATTCTGGCAGACACTAACTTATCTAACGTCTTCTTCTTCTTCTATGGCGCAATAGCCCAATGTCGGGCCTTGGCCTCCCTTATCAAGCCCCTCCATTCCTCTCTATCCGGCGCTGATCTCTTCCAGTTCCTTACACCCATTAACTTCTTTGCATCTTCTTCCACTGCATCAATCCATCTAGTTCTTCATGGCACCCGGTTTATTGAGGATTTTCACATTCCATGTACCTAGAGAGTAGTCCATATTCTTTGCCAAAAGTCGTCTTCCATTCTGTTGAGGTTTCTGAGGCTTGATTCCAGGTTTCAAGACATTTATATTTTACATTTATATTTTTTTTTACGGTGAGAGGTCGTCAGCCTCTCGCCCAACCCACAACCTGGAGGGATCTATCCAATCCATACCATCCCATCCTATCTCTCTAAGATCCATTCTAATGTGGTCCATCCACCTACGCCTTGGTCTTCCCTGTGTCTCTTTCCTTCTGGCCTTCCCACCAATATCCTACACACATTCCTCGTCTCCGCCATTCGTGCCACATGACCCACCCACCTTATCCCCCTTGACTTGATCATTCTAATTATACTTGGAGAAGAGTACAAGTTATGAAGCTCCTCATTGTGCAGTTTTCTCCAACCTCCTGTCACTTCATCTCTCTTCAGTCCAAATATTCTCCTCAACACCCTCAGTCTATGTTCCTCCCTTAATATCAGAGACCAAGTTTCACACCCATACAGAACCACAGACAAAATTATAGTTTTGTGTATTCTAATTTTTATGTTTTTGGACAACAGACAAGAAGACAAAAGGTTCTGGACTGAATGGTAGCAAGCATTACCTGAGTCCCCTTCCCAACTAGATGATTAAATTATATTTAGTTATTTAATGTGATGGGGCTTATAATATATTATTTTGCAGGCAATATGGTATTTTATATTTCAGAAATTATTCCCCTGCTCTTCTAGAAAAGCACAAGGATTCATTAAGTCAATTAATTCGCCGTGACAAGAACCGTCCTAGTGTCATATTCTGGTCAATCGCAAATGAAGCCAGAACACAGCTACCAGATGCTGATTCTTATTTCAGGTGATAAAAATATTTTGTTGCATGTTATTCTAAGTACATCATTTTTGTAAAACTTGATAAATCAGAATTTTATGAAAAGTATTGACTTACTGATCCACACATCATGAACACTGTCATTTTAATGTTGGTGTGGCATGCTAAATGTTAGGATGGGTACAAATGTTATTTTAAATATTCATCTACATAACTGAGAAAATTTATATGACAAACCAATACAATTTAAATTTACACAGTCTCAGTAATATTTAAAATAAAAGTTTCACATCTCAGCATGATCCATTTCATGTGTTATGTACCAATTTTATGAGCCATTTTGAGCACAATTACATAAACTCTGAACTAAATTTCGTGAACAAATAACAGATTAAAATGAAGTTCATTTCACCAGACCTAATATAGTGGTATGTACTTCACTTCCTTAACTGTCTTGATTAAATCTGGGTTGAAAATTTTGTACAGAAATGATCATCCTCATTAAATTTGGGAGAATCACACCTCTGTATGTATTAATTGTTAACACGAGAATGTTTGTTTCTTATGAGGGTTTACTTATTCATCTCCCTGCTCCATGGAACTGAAATGAGGGTGGGATGACGTCTTGGCCAAATTTGAGTATGATTGAGGCACTATGCTACAAGCCGGAAGGTCGTGGGTTCAAGTCCCAATGAGGTCATTGGATTTTTTTCATTTGACCTAATCCTTCAGCCGCACTATGGCCTTGGGGTCAACTCAGCCTCTAACAGAAATGAGTACCAGGAATTAATTAAATAATTTTCCTGTGGAGTAAAGCGCGGCCGACGCGTAAGGCTGACAACCTTACTGCCATCTTTGAGCTGATTGTCTACATAATGTGGGACCCTCAACGTCTCACAACCCTATGGGCCTTCATGGCCCGTTACAGGGACAGCTTTACTTTTACTCTTTTACCTGCAAAGTGTAAGAGTTAAAGGGCATTGGCACTAAGAAGTATGGTCGCTTCAGGATTCTATTAAAATGCTGCAAAAAGTGAATAATAATACAGCAGTTAACAGCTTATCATATCCATTCCACCATATTAACTAAATGGATCATTTACACTAAATGAGGAATCCTGGGGAAATTTTGTGCAGCTGAAATATTGCTATTTCACATTCTACAAAACAATTACTGTAGTACTTTTTTTTAAAAGAATTATTGCCATAGGAATTTTCTGGGTCTCACATTACAGGGCTGCAATAGCTATTTACTAATTTTACTAATAATAAAAACAGGTAAAGTTATCCCTGTAACAGGCTGTTGAGGCCCATAGGGTTGTGAGACATTGAGGTCCCCACATTTTCTAGACAACTGGCTCACAGATGGCAATAAGGTTATCAGCCTTATGCACCTGTTGCCCTTTACACCAAGGGTCATAATGTGACTTGAAGGATTAGGCTAATCGAAAAATACAATGACCTCACCAGGAACTGAACCCATGACATTCCAGCATGTAGCATATTGCCTCAACCAAATACACTACCACTACTGGTAATAGGTAATTTAAATCACGAAGGTATGGTATGCTTTAATGGTATGTTCATATCAAATTTCAGGGAAATCTGCAGATATTTACATATATAAATTATTGAAGAGGAAAACACACACACAGATATATATATATTTACATGACCATGGTATGATAACACTAAAAGCTTAGTTTACATCCTTTACAAAATTAGAAAAATTGGCTGGGAGCATACGAAAGTAATTCTTCCTTCCATATATGATGACAGATTTTAATAGACATTTGTGAAACAAATGATTTCTAACAAATCAATAATTTGTTTTTTTAGGGCTATTGTGGAGCATGTAAAACATCTGGATTCAACTCGGCCAATTACCATGGCATTGGCCAGAGGCTACGGTGAGGATCGAACAGTCAGTATCAGTAAATCAGTTCATTCGAAACAAAGTACTTAAGGCTTTGGGTAATCTTTATATGTACAAATAAATAGTTTAGTTTGGACAAAAGGATATCATACCCATGAGAACAACTGCTACTGTTATAGTCTGATCATATATCAGTAACTTTTGCTGTAGTCAAAAATACAGAGAGATTTTAGATTCAGTCCAATACAATTAATAACCCAACATTTATGGGAAACATCAAGCTGTGTGACAACTGTTACGGGTGACTGCATTCTCAGAAACAGTCTCTTTCCTGTGGGTTGTAATTACATGTTGTTCACTACCAGTTTCAATTAGGTAAAACAGAGCACAAATCCATTAAAAATTAGGCAAATATACAAGTTAATTGACACAATTTAACTTGAAGGCATTTGTTGCGATAACGAGAATGGAAATTTGATAATAGAGTATGCATTTTATATTACCGCATAATTTGTGCATGGTGGAGAAAAGAGAGGCGCAATTAAGCACAAATGTAAATGGGTAGGAACTTCTTATGGCTTCATGGTTCAATCACATCTGCTGAAAGGTTTGCATGGCAACATATTTCACATGTCTGATTATCTGTACCTTCTGAGTTTGGTTTTCTGTTCCCACATTTGAATTAAATGTTATACATGGAGAAAATTTAAAATGGTAAATATACATAGTGAATTACTGACAGAAAAAAAAGGCACTGACAAAAGGTGATACTTTGAAATGAAATCAATTATACCCATCATATTTCTTACAAACCCAGAATGTATAGTTCTACTGAATCAGAATATTATTTACTTCCCATATACACAGTCATTTGAATGCTGTATTTCTAAACTCTATGTTAACTTTCATTTCTGCCACAGCAATGGGACATAAGATGCAGAAGGAGTATGAGATAATATAAATGACTTTGTATTTCATGGCGATATTTTTATTCCATAATTTTACCTGCTTAGAAGTGAAACATGATCCTTCACTCTCATGGAGGAATACAGACTGAGCATTTTAAGAATAATGTGTCAGGAAGGATAGTGGGACCTGAAAAAACAATATCTCAAAAGATGGAGAATTACACAGTGAGGGGCTTCATGATTTGCACTGTTCATCTACCATCATTGCTTTCTAGTGCCTCCAGGTATGGCCTGTTTGACCTTTCTGGCCAATCTAGGTTAGGGCAGACACTCCATTCCTAAGACAGAGGCACCCATCAAGTGACCTCTTCATCTATTATTATTATGATGATTAAATAGATGGGAAAATGATTAGTGCAACATGTGAATGAATGTGGGAAATGAGACAAGCATACAAAACTGTAACCAGAAATTTTGAAAGGAAGGGAGGTCTATATGTAGATGGGATGATAGCATGAAAATGAATCTCATGGAAACTGGGTACAGAATGGATTCACTTGGCTCCAGATAGGAGCTAATGTGGACTCTTGTGAACAGCACAACTAACTTCTGAATTCCATTAAGGGCAGGGATTTTCTGTTTTAGCTCAAGAAAGACATTGTGCCACTGAGTTATTCATTTTTATTATTCAGGAAATCCTCTCCACTTCAAATTTTACTTACTTCTGACTGCATGAGTCTCAAAAGGATATTGTAACCTTCTTCCCCTTCTGTTTCTTCTTTCAAGGGTCAATATTTGGATGTTATTGGATTCAACCGGTACAATGGTTGGTATAGTAACACAGGAAGAACAGACACCATACGCAATAACGTGATTGCAGAAGCAGTATCATGGCACCACAAGTACAACAAACCAGTCATGATGCTGGAATATGGGGCAGATACATTGGCAGGACTTCATTTGGTAAGGAAACATAAATGTTAGGCCTTGGTGCTCTGTATCTTGTCATCAGAAAAACTACAATACATGAACTACATAAAAAAGTACATAATGGAGAAGTTGTCTCTCTTTGTTTGTAGTGTTTACCTACATATTTTATTTCCAAAACTATTTCACAGATTTAGAAAAAACTTGATATTGGAGAAGGTCTGCACTGAAAATTATTAATTAATTTAATCTTAGTCTGTTTCAATTCAGTGTAAGCCCCAGTCTACATAAAGCTCAAATATCAAACAATAATTTTACTCAAATGTTTAATTTTACGAGAAAAAAAAAACGAAACAACGATCCTGCTCAGATCTACAGCTGTTGTTTTATACATTATTTGACAAGGAAAAGTTCATTACAACAGTACATTTGCATACATATTAAATGAACAAGTAGGGAATTACCACTATAGTTTTTTTTTTGGGGGGGGGACACCCCCAGCTAAGATTTGGGGGTTTTTGGAGTCCTTTCCTGGGAAAATTCTAGAAAAGAGGGAAGCTAATTATGCTACTTTAGTATAAAAAAATACATTTGAGGTGGAATACTGAGGCTGAATTTATGCATTATGGCAATAAAAAGCTGAGTAATGAAACAAAAATGTTTAGTAAGTTGCATTCCACACCTCTGCAGATCTCATGGCACACCAGTGCTCTGTAACATACACTTCAAGACAATGATCAAGAGCAATGAATGAATAAATGAATTGAAAATGACATGCTTGGAATTAAGTGTATTCAAAATTAAAAGTAAAGTTTCCCACTCTGTTCTAAATATCATTTAAATCATTATGTGTTATGAACTTATATACTTAAGCTGGTATTTTAATGTAAGCTGCCTCTTGTATCTAGAACTCTAGGCCTAAAGTTGAAGCCCCCACTTATGCCTCTGTCATCAGAGGAACACAAGTTCTTAGTACCTGATTTAGAAACTTACATGTAGTGCATAAAACATGGCAAAAGGCTGTATTCCTATATGTCCCCATCAGGCAGTTCCTTACATTTTCCATCGTGGACTATATAGTCAATAACTATATATATGACATAACTAAATTTTCAGTATCCTGAATATGTATGGTCAGAAGAATATCAGGTTGAAATTATGTCCAAGCACTTTGAAGCTTTTGACAGACTGCGCATGCAAGGATTCTTTGTTGGAGAAATGATTTGGAATTTTGCAGACTTCAAAACTGCCCAAAGTAAGTAAAATATGTAATCTTTTGCATAATTTGATCAATTTTTCAGTCAGTAAGATTTAATGACTCCAAGACATCCAAGCTGAGATAAAACCATTATTAATCAAATTGTTAAGAGCTCATACTTTTCATATACAGTCATGCAAAAATATAAAGATATCAACTGAGTTATATGTAATATGATATCAAAATGTAGGATTTGAAGTTATGAAGAGTTCTGTCCTCTGCAACATACTGTCATGCAGTCTGTTGAAAGTTAACCAACGTTTCAGAGGAACATGTTGCCTCCACTTCCCTCACTACTACCTAATTCATGTTGATTTCTTGTTTGGCTAACTATTCAACCCTGAAGATGGAGGTGACATATTCTGAAATGTCACTTGACTTTCGTCAGACTACTCAAAATTATATCTCAGAAGACAGAACTTGTCAATACTTTCTCTATTCAGATGTCAGTAATCACTCATAGATTCAAAATTCTGAAACAACGAAATAGTTAACTTATTGGACAATATACACCCAGTTTGTTATGATGGATTTGAAGCGTTTATCTTCAAATATTTTCCTTAATTTTATATAGATATTCTGAGTAGACAAGCAGTATGTCAAGTGGTTGGCTCCTTTTGTATGTGTTTGCTCTTTAGTGTACCTTCTCTCACAAGATCTATCCAATGGCCACTTATTTAACAACTTGTTCTTGAAGCTTTCAAATGAACCCTCTTGTCATACATGTATAACATATATTCATAACCTTACTAATATATAGGCTCCCTTTACTGCACTGAATGCTAATACCCTGACTTTTATATCACACAGCAATAACACGAGTTGGGGGAAACAAGAAAGGTATCTTCACACGAAACAGACAACCAAAAGCTTCAGCTCATCACATACGAAGACGTTACTGGGAGTTAGCTGGTGAATTGGATAACGCAATACTGCCAAACGATCTCGACCACTATGTGTCTAAATCACGACATTAAATTGTAGAAAACAGTGTTATTACACATTATAAAACTACAGAAGAAGTCAGTGGTTCTTAACCAGTGGGCAGCAAAGATCATCCAGGATTAAAACATATATGTAACAGTTCAAGGAAAAGCCAGCTAAGACAGCGTGTGCAAAGATCACCAAAGTAGGATGTTTAAGAAACACTGCATTAAGTGGCATCAGTGAGCTGCAGAATGATAATTCACTTCTTTGCAATGAATTAATAGATGTGTGTGCTGTGGTTGCCAGAAATCAGAATTAAGGCAGCACTGTTTGCAGGGAAGGCAACACAAATGCATTACAGGTGTGTTATTAGGAGGTAACAAAGTGTCTCAATACACAACATCCTTCAGAGCCATGGATTCTGTCTCTCAGCCTCAGGAAAACAGTACATCATTACAGCCCTGATCATTCTCCACCCAAACTTTTACAAGAATTAGGGACTGTTGCAGTTAATTTTTTCTTTTGTTTAGCAATCACTCAAGTTGTATAATTTCACACACTGCTTTAACCTCAGAGTGTGATACAGTATTACCTTCAGATATTATACACATTTTCAGTGTCAATTTTAGCCTGCTTTCCTTATTGTGCATTCTTCGCATGATGAGCATAACCTGAATGCACAAAGGAGAAATCATGTCTGTTCTTCCATCCACATGTATCAACTTGAGAACTAGTAGACTGAGTTTGATGAAACTTGATATCACAGGTTCTACGAAAAAGTGGTATGGCCATTTTGATTTTCATAAAAATTGTCATGTAAGTGTACTTTACACTAGAGGCCACTCCACCTTCATATTTTTAATTTTGTTCCATCCTGAGGTGGAAGCAATGTCACTTTATATAGACTCTCCAACTTTTGTGTGGTAAAATTGGTAATTTTGGGGGAGGGGGGATAACTGTAAAAACAATATGGTATCCATCCAAAATCAGTATTTACCATTCCATTGGCTGGTGATAAGTAATGAACCATAAGCATTAATACAAGTGAAATTCTGTACAGACATAGATTCTAAATGTACCTACAAGTTTTGCATGTAACTGTGTTTACACGTTAACAATTATGAACATGGGAACTGCGTGAAACTTTTGAGTTAATATCCAACACACTTAGCAGTATATAAATGAATCATTAATTGCATAATTATTAACTTGTACTTGCTGTTAGCATCACTATATAGACTGAAGCAATGTAAGGAAATTTTGTGAAGTTTTTCCAGAATTGGTTTTTAATTTCAAGGCTTAGCAACTTTATCTCGTTAGTCTCTGTTTGTGCAGGTATATCACAGTTTGTGGGCCTTTCCATGCTTTCATTCTCAGAACACTTTTATTTATACATCATGTCCTTGCATACAAACGGTTCAATCCACACACCGCACTTCTGACTGATCTTGGAGGTGAAACAAGGCTTCTGCCCACCAAAAGTAGAGCATATTACACCACAATAAATAATTTTTATAATGTGCTTATTTTTTAATGCCATATTTATATATTTATGTCAGGAACATAAACACAACAGTTAGCACTGAGTATGTGATGAAGAGTCTTCAATGTGAAAGTTTCTACATTATGTGCCATTTTATAGGAAAGTAAAAACCACAAAAAGTGGATATACCTGTATTTTCTAACTGGGAAGTACCATAAACTAACTCCTTCTATTTTCAAATATCAAATTACCATGTTTATTATTAATTTAGCACTAAATCAGTTGATAATTCTCATAACAAAATGTTTCTATTACCTGATTAACGTTAAATGGCTATTAAATTAAAAGTTTCAATTGCTGACAGCCCTAATGTAACACCCAAATACAGTGTGGGTTGGCATACCGGTAATGCTCTAGACTCATATTTTCTTGTAGTTTTCATCAGTTCCTCTAGCAAATGCCAGGGTCGTACCTCAATTAGGCCATAACTGCTTCTTTCCAAATCCTTTCAAACTCATCATTCATCTGTCGTCCTACAAACCAATGCTATATAGTGTAGCTACTGGCAGCATTACAAAAAAATTCTATCATACATCACGGGCTAACAATCCAAGCACTTTGTCCTGTCTGTGGATAACAGACAGTACAGTTTCTGAGGTACTGATTGTTCTGTATTAAGATTTTAGAGTCTCACACTGGAGAGTATTATGATTAGTCACAACCAGAATATCACAATGTTGACTGTTCTATAATATTCAGAGTTTTAGTATTTCAGAACAGACCAAAGAGCATTCATTCCAGGGTCCAAGGGCTACTGCTATATTTCTTTCAGAATAGAGACAGCAGGATTGAGGGAGGGGAAGGGATTTATTACATTTAAAGTAATAAAATAAGAGTATCAAGGATTAACCCTTAAGACCATCAGTATAGCATGTATGTACAAAGGATACATAGTAAATATGTTCAATTTAAATAGTAACATTTAAGAATATAGTAAAATTGTACACCACATTCACAGGGAAAGTGTATCCATCAAATTTTTAAACAAGTGTCAGTCCACTTGGAATACAGATTATGCGTGCATGCATGCGTGGGTGTGTTTGTGTGTGTGTACTTGAAAATCAATAAAAAATGATATACTTCAATACAGTAAGAATGGAACTGTAAGACTTAAATGATGAATTTCATGCTACTTTACTGTTACACTTTAATTATTTCAAACACTATTTAACAATATGCCAATTTATGTTAAATAAGTCACAGGAGTAAGTTAAACTGATGCCGATGCTTTCATTTACATGAGTTAAATTTTAATTTATGTAGACATGTACCTTCTTAACACCAAGTTGCACTATTTAGCCCTCAATTTAATTCACTTACATTTTAATTTAATTAAATAAATTTGCATAATTCCTAAGTTACTGATATGTTAGAGATTTAAAACATACATCAAATGTTGAAGTGATTGCAGAACACAGCCATGCAAGTTACAAATCAGCCCTTCCTTCCCCTCAGCATGCAAAGCCCCACCATTATGCCACAATTATTGAAAATTTTCTCCCCCTCCTATTATGTGGCATCCTTTGAACAACCTGTCTCTTGAAACACTGGTTTTCAACATCTTCTGACTCACAGATCATTAAAGGTGAAGTGGATCTTCCTAGAATCAAACTGTACAGTAGAAATACCAGTCTACAGATCTAATTGTTACTGTCACATCTGAATATGTTTATTTGCTATATAAAGATTTATGCCTTTATGAAGCATTAAAATTTAAAAAAGGTTATGATCACCTGCACTCGATATTCATATGAACCATGCATGTGGGCATATGCAAAAATTTAAGCTATCAGAAATGACATGTTTGTGTGTAACAGTATTAAAACTACTTGTACAACACAAACCTAGTGAGACCTCTTAGGAGGAAGGAGATTCAACCTATAATATTTCATTTATAAGTGGAAGTGAACATGTCATGCTGAAAAATGGTCTGGCTCCAGTAAAATATGCATGATAATAATATATTATTATACTGTACTATAACACAACCTTTAATTTTTGAACCAAGATACATTAAGAACTGAGCCAGGGGTTCACAAACACTGCCTTGGGATACAACATTGAATTCTGTCACAGCAGTGGTGCAACCAATCTTTCACAACCAAAGCCGAAGACTGTCATGCAAGGTACTAATTCAGATTCATTGCAGCCATTAATGTGAGACTGGTAAAATGCACTCTCAAGGCATATGTATAACCCATAAAATGTTAATGTCAATTAGAGCAAGGAGTTGGCACAAGTGCCAGCATCAAGTTGCAAGCTATCTGCAATTTTATATTTTCCTTTGTGTTTTACTTTACAATTCTGTCAGTACCTAGGCTACATAGCACCAAGAAATTCTGTACTGCTACATCTCTAGTGGTACAGTATATGTCAGCAGTGGAGAGAAATGTGTTTCTCACCAGAACAAATAAAATTTAAAAAAAATATCTACAGCAATATTCATAACATATCCACAAAGAATTAATTGGTCCTTTTACATACAAGTATGTTTAGAGGCAAGTACTAAAAGGATTTAAACACATTCCTTTCATGAAATGTTGACTTAGTGCAATATCATTACATGTCATGTCAATTTGTCCTTAACAGCAGTTCATTGCAACCTTTTAGTATAAGGGTTACATTTAAAGTATTTGTGATTGCAAAAATGCCAGTGACAGTGAGAACAAACTCAACATTTATATTTGTATTTTACTATTTAAAATCAGAAAATAAATTAATATTTATAGAAAAACAGTATTATTATTATCTAATGCCATTTGTAATTCAATTAAATGTATTACACTTGACAAAAACTAGACAATTTGACTGTAAAGATGGAGTCAGCATGTGTACCTCTGAAATGTTGGCAACACCACCCACATACAGACGGTGTAACAACCCAAGAACAGAATCTACATCAGCACAACTTTGTACCAGTTACCCTTTAATAGCAAAAATTCTCCTAAATGATATGTAAAAATTCAGTTTGTACTTCACAGAAAACACACTGTCTCCACTAAAAAGGTCCATTGGTTAATGACATTTAGGGAAGTAATCGCTGTTTATTGTTAAGAACCATATGAGCTGAGATAACGCAGCTGGTATAGCGACTAGCTACGGGCTGGTCGACTAAGAGGTCGGAGTTCTGGTAGGGTCAAGAATTTTCTCCATGTCGTCTATACCGGCTCTGGTGTCCACCCAACCTCCTATCCAATGGGTATCAGGGGTAAAGCGGCTGGGCCTGAAGTTGACCACTCACCACCAACAAGTGCTGAGGTCAAGAAAATGTGGATCTATACACCCACTCCCCCATACACCTTCATGTGTACTGCTTAATTACTTTAAGCTCAGGGATAACTTTACCTTACCTTTACCATATTAAATGCATAAATGTACCTTGTATATTAAAGCAGGTGGTACACATAGCGACCAATGGGCATTAAAGGGTTAATAATAGCTTTCACACAGACTTAAATGTACACATTATATTTCAGCATACAAGCAGCACCAACAATAATAACATGCAATTCATGTATTATAGCAATTCACTGGATGGCAAAACTTTGAACACTAATACATGTTGCAGACATATTTAAATCAATATAATGTATATTTTATGATTAGTTTAACAAACTAAAATACCATATCTAGTGACACGGCAGAACTAGATATAGTAAGCCCTGAATGCAGGCATCATCCAATGAAAATGTATGGGATGATATGAAGCAGTTATATATGGATGCTTATAACATAAAAGTAGGCATGGGAGATTTATCTTTACGCAATACTAGAATTAATCTGGTACAGAAAACCGAGATTAACAGCCTTGGGAATCCTTTGTGCTGACCATGCAACACCCTCTATCTGCAAAATTTGGCATTAATTTCACAAACAAGTGGCGGTCGCTTGGTCAGTATAGTTCACTTGTGGGCTAAAGGCCAGGAGGAATATTAGAATTGAACTGCCCAGTGTTTGAGGTACCTACATTACTGGAGTTAATTCCACTCTTATGGTTACCATTATACTATTAGATATACAGTATGCTTACTGCTTTTACATTTCATGGTATAGGATGGAATCAAATTCTCAAGCCTATGATTACCGAGTGTTATAACAATCATTCTCTTACCATCTTCAAGTGGCTGGTTATTATTGTACATAGAAGATATTAACTTTATGGACTGCTTTACAAATTATGTTTCATGGCAGGCAGAGCAGTTCATGTAATAAATCTGTTTAAGACATGTCACCAGTGGGCAGCAGTTATCAGCTCCAGTAGCTGTTTTGTTCTCAGCTATAAATTAGTGAGCAGTGTGCTATTATTATTATTATTATTTGTAGAGGGGGTGGGTTTCCCCATGCACCGCGACTAATAGTCTATTGTACGTCCCCTTTTGATATTCTACCAGTCGCCATGCCCTGCCAGTACTGGTGCTCGCTATCAGCCCCATCCTGCCAGCAAGGTTGGCCACCTCTCTGGCAGTGGTACCCAATACTTCCCCATCTACCAGAGGAATTGGAAACTACTTGGGTGGGAAACATGAGGATCTTTTACATGCCATAAATCTAAAACACGGGACCCATGGCTTAAAGACCCTCCTGGAGGACTTGTTCCCTGAATTTTCTGCCCTTAAAAATTCCACCTCTGCTGGGTTTGAACCCGCATACCTTGAGTCATGAGGTGAGAAAGTTACCCCTACACTATGGAGGCTGCTGAGCAGTGTGCTATGTCATGGTGTGGTACACTTTAGAGCAATGTGTATTTTTTGTATGACATATACAAGAAAGTGCTGGTAAAAATTTTAACAAATTTAACTTCCCAGCAGACAAACAATTCATAATGTGGTGATTGAACTTAGATGAACAGGATGGTTAACAGAAAAGAAACAAAAACACAAGCACTGAGTGCTTACTGGGAAAAATTGTATAATATGCAAGCCAGACGTGGACACACAAAAAAATCACTAAAACCTCTATCTTAGGAGACTGGGGCATCAAAGCCAAGTGCAAGAAGGCCAATACAATTGCCGTACCTTATACCCTATAAAACAACAGTAATCCACACCTTCCAGCCATGTGATCCAGCTAGCAGGGTTCATTTTTGCAATTGTTTTCAGCAGTCTGTCATTGAAGGTGAAACTGACCCGCAATTAACATTTGTTCCGATGAAGCATGCTTTTATTTGCAGGGATATAGAAATACTCAAAATAACTGCTACTGGAGTTCACAGAATCAACATCTAACATACAAAGTCCTGCTCCACCCAGTGAAAAGTTGTTGTCTGCTGTGTTGTAAGTAGAAGAATGATTGTTGGACCTGTTTCTTAACATAAAAGTTAATTCCAAAAGATATGTACCAGCGATTCTTTGGTAATTCTTTCCAGAGTTAACAGTAGGAGAAAAACTGTATACTTGGTTTCAGAAAAGACTTGGCAACTGTCCACACTGCATGTATGCAGGCTTTGACCAATGCCTTCAGGGACAAAACTATTAGCATTGGTATCTGGCCAGTATGTTAACCTGAACTTAATTTTTCTGATCTTTTCTTCTGAGGTTGTTCGAAGGGAAAAGTTTATATAAATAACCCACAAACTGAAGAACTAAAAGAAAACATTTGGTCAAAAGTTAAGAATATTTCTGCAGAAAACTTAAAAAGAGCAACCAGAACTTCTGTTGGTAGATAAACAGCATTTTCAGCACCTTCGATGACCTGTGAAGTGTAACTACTTCATTTCAAATGTTATCAGCCATCAGACTAACTGATTCAACAGCAATATTCATATTTGCCTCACAGCTGGAAATGCACTGGTTGCTGTGAAGCACAGCACTATGAAGCAGTCAATAAAAGTAGGAACATCCTTGTACTATCACATATGCTTTATCTATTTGGATGTAACATCATGAGGTCTTCTGAAAATCAACCAGGGTTTTGGAGGAATATGTCACCTATATCTTCAGGGTCAAAGAATAAGCCAAAAGCAAGAAACAAGCTTGAAGCAGGTAGCAGTGAGAGGAATCCACTTGTGGAAACTTAGGTTTATATAGGAAACAGGAGAGAGCTGCAAGAGAGCTTGTCAGTTACCACTGGGTCTCTCAGTGAATACAGTGGACCAACAGGAGACAAGGATAACCAGTGCCAGCCCTAAAAGGGCCAGCTGTCTAGATCTAGGAACACAGGAGACAAGTTATAAGGGTGTGGTGTGTAGGGAACAGAGTTTGGTGGGAGAGTAGTTGGGTGCATGGGTCACAGGCATGAAGTGAGGAATAAAGTAGGGCAAGAGGGAGTAGATCAGAAAGCAATAAAAGTACTGTAAAATTGAGGAAATTAAAAATACAGAATTAACAGTTATTAATGAGTCAGGATAGGGACTGGCTATGGGCTAGACGACTGAGGGGTTGGAGTTCAAGGCCCGGTAGGGTCAAGAATTTTCATTTCTCCAAGTCATCCAGACCGGCTCTAGGGTCTGGCCAATCTCCTATCCAATGGGTACTGGGGAATATTTCCCCAGAGGTAAAGTGGCCGGGGCGTGAAGATGAATATTCACCTCCAACTAGTGCTGAGGTCAAGAGAATATGGATCTATATGTCTACTCCCCCATATGCCTTCATGGCATCGAGCTTAATTAGTTAAGCACAGGGACAATTTTGCCTTTTAATTATAATAAAATACAAACACAATGTCAGAATTAACAAAAACAGAGGAACACTAACAATGTTCAGTTCAAGTACCTGACCACTGTCCAGATAATTCAGCTTATTTGTAAGGTAGCTTAACATTAATTGGGAAAAGCAAAAGTAAAACCATCCCTGTAACAGGCCATGGAGGCTCACAGGATTGTGAGGTCGAGGATCCCACATTTTGTAGATGATGAGGCTCACAGATGGCAGTAAGGTTGTCAACCTTACACACCAGCCACCTGTTTCCTCCAGGAAGATTCCTGGTACTCTTTTCTGTTAGTGGATGAGTTGACCCCAGGGCCATAGTGTGGCTGGAAGGATCAGGCCAATTGAAAAATCCAGTGACATCACAGGGAATCAGTAGATACAAAATTTAGACATTACAGGTGTGTCAAATATTTTAATTTCAAAAGATCCATTAAAAACAGTCATAACTATGCCCTATTAGGCCTCTTTTCTTACAAAGAATTAACTATATACTATAATACAGATACAATAATATACCATCACCAGTGACAACAGAACCTCATTTTAGACATATGGTAACCTAAGAAACACAAATATAATTATGTAGGTACTGTAGATGCATCCTCTACGGGTTCAATAATTTTAAGGCATTCATCAGCAAACTCAACAAACAGAGGCTCCTGCATTGCCAGCTGCATGGCTCGGTCAGGGTTGGGAGACCTATCTACCGACACCAGAAGCTCTTGAAGGTGTGGGTTCTGTAAAATCTGCTGCAAAACTTTACTATTTTCTGGAAAGAAAACAATTTGTCTGTTTCAGCTGTGGCAAATAAAGTCAGGAAAGGATATCTCTAACATGGAGGTTAGGCATGGAGCTAAAGCCTCTCAGTATACAAATTTGTGTTATGTCATGCTGGGCCAAACACCATTTGGGGGAAATATTTGTAAATATTTTACCAGAAAGGGATTAGTTTGGAATAATGAACACAAGAAACAGGCTGATTTTCTGGAAAATCTTTGACTTTTGTATGTGACATGAGTGTTCCAGTGATGTTACATTTTTTGGGTTAGGTGTAATTTAGTTCATAAAAAGGATATGTGCAACTTTTTGTTCATTATGGTTCTTAGGTACACTTTATTTTAGTTCATATATAACTCTTTGACTTATGAGAATTTTAATAAAAGTAATTTTCATTTCCAGGATCTGATGGTTGCTGGGGAAGGTTTCACCTCCACGGAATTAGTTATGCACTTAAAACGCACATAGCCTATATATATTTTACTTCATATACAGTTCATAAATTCATTTCTAAAGGGGGTTTGTTGCCACACTCATGCAGGTTCATGCTAGAGTACAGCTGGAGGAGTGATTCTTGAATGGGAGTAGGAACATTAAAAGAAAATTGGGGTTAGGAAGCAGAAGGGATGTCATATGCCATTTCCAGATGTTTTCAGTTGCATCAGATAAGTTATAATGGTTTTTGTTATGGCTACATAACATAAAACTTGAATTTAGTGACACATTAAGTGAACTAGATATGTTACATGCAACAGCAACAAATAAACACCATATTCAAAAAAATTTATCTGTGGTAACCATACTGTAAAATTCCTTAAATAAAATTACACCGGAATTAGTATTGGATTCTATCCCTTTAAAGGTTAAGTCATTCAAGTGCCACAGTCAGTGAATACATGGCCATTACTGCTAGTAACGAACAATCCTGCACGGAATTTTAAGTACCTAACAACTTCAGCCTGTCCAGAGGAACAGTATCTTCTGTCTGGTGCTCATATTTCTGTGAACCAATTCTGATTTCCTCTTCTGTGTTGTTTGGTAATGACACGGATTCACATTTAATCTTTTGGTGTTCTTTCCAGCAGTTCAAGGAACAACTGAAATTTAAACATAACTTTGAATTACAATAATACACTCCCTCACTCACAGCAGCAAATGTGAACTGATAGCACATAACCTCAAACAGCAATAACCCTTCTCAACTTACTACACAAGACGACAACTGGGGCATTTATATTTTGATTCCTGAGTTTCACAAATGCCACACTTCATTTTAATACAAGCAATATGAAAATTAGGGCATAAAATACGCGTTTCTTTGCACACACCACGCTCTTAGTCTCTCACGTACGATCGCGCAGATTTTCATATTATTCTCTGACAGTCTTAACCGGTCTTAACAGTGAACGCACTAGCGCACTATTACCGTTCAGTTTGTTCGGATTTCTCGGTGCGAATGAATGGAAGTACAGAACGAATTTGTACGCATCTTATTCAGAACGTTCGAAACGTAGCGGTTTTCAAGCTACTGCATATTCAAATCCCTTGATGACGTTGATGACCTTGATCGCCTTAATTGACTCCAACATTGCACTGGTCGCTACAAACTTAGCCTAAGCCGCCTAGGACTATAACACACAATAATCTTCTTTGTTTACAAGTTCGTTTCTTCGATTTCTTCGTAAGTACCAACCAGCTAAGATAGCTCAGTTGGTATAACGACGGGCTGGGCTCAATTCTCGGCCGTGCAATAATTTTTCTCTTTTCCGCATTGTCAAGTCCGGTCAAGATGGTAAAGACCAGCACTGGGGCTCACCCAGCCGGCTATCCAATACATTCTGGCTGCTCTTTCCCTGATGGTAAAACGAATTGAGCGTGAGGCTGATTGATCACTGATCTCTGACTAGTGCTGAGGGCAAGAATGATGGAGGTATACCTCATTTTCCCCATTTACCTAAATACTTCAAAAGGATCTCAATTAATTATGGGAGAGCGCCGCCGAAAGCCCTTAAAAAGAGGGTCCAATCAGGAAAACATATTTTCCTCCAGTGTCAAAAGCAACTGTGGCAAGAACTAAAACTGATGTCTTGTGAGGGATTAAATTTACATGCATTAAATAAACAAATGATAGATCGAAACAATCCATATTATATTTCTTCCTCAAAAGACAGATGACTAACAAAACATACATTCTATCCTGCATCAAAACAAAGTTCAGAAAGCCCAACAGTATTTCCACCTTCTGGGGGATTAATATTATACCCAAACTGAAAATGAAATTAATAATCACATGTTAATTTCAGCTCTAACAAAAGTTGACATAAAAATAATTTTGACTGATGACTTCACTCATAACAATACAGAATCCAGATTTTGGTATATGCTGTAAACAGTAGACTATATTGGCAGCAAGCTTGTTTATTTCTTATGTCCCTAATGTTTAATAAATTTTTGCATAATACTTGAAACTATGTATGTAGGTAAATCTTCTACATACATCTTTAATAAACTTTATAAACAGTGTAAACAATATGGGGCACTTTAACCTCTTATGTAACACATGAATATTTGGTGTCTTGGCACTATAGGCCGATGAAGCTAATAATGTCCAAATAGGTTGCTTTATGCATTATTTGTATTACATATATGTAAGAAGCAATAATATGTGTACATAACAATAGGAATACATTATAATTGACCAAGTCATCTTCATCAGTGCCTGCTGCATCAAAATGAAGCTTCTTAATTTCCATGCTGCTATCATCCCCCAGATTATCCAGCACTGTACCACTGAAATAGAAATAGTTTTATTTAGAATAATTTCCTACTTTAATTGACGAAAGTAAGGAGGTTGGTCTAGAAGTAAACACAGAGGAAACTAAGAACATGTTGCTGTCTTGTCACCAAAATACAGGGCAAAATCATGACATAACGATAGGAAACAGATGTTTTGAAAATGTGGCACAGTTCAGATATTTGGGAAAGATGATAACAACTCAAAACCTGATTCAGGAGGAAATTAAGAGGAGATTGAACTTGGGTAACGCTTGCTACCATTCGGTCCAGAACCTTTTTGTCTTCTCGTCTGCTGTCGAAAAACATACAAATTAGAATATACCAAACAATAATTTTGCCGGTGGTTCTGTGTGGGTGTGAAACTTGATCTCTGACATTAAGGGAGGAACATAGACTGTGGCTGTTTGAGAACAGGATGTTGAGATTATTTGGACTGAAGAGAGATGAAGTGATAGGAGGTTGGAGAAAACTGCATAATGATGAGCTTCGTAACTTGTACTCTTCTCCAAGTATAATTAGAATGATCAAGTCAAGGAGGATAAGGTGGGCAGGGCATGTAGCATGAACGGGGGAGAAAAGAAATGCCTATAGGATGTTGGTGGGAAAGCCAGAAGGAAAGAGACCACTGGGAAGACCTAGGCATAGGTTGGTGGACAATATTAAAATGGATCTTAGAGAGACAGGATGGGATGTATGGATTGGATTGATCAGTGGAGAGCTCTTGTGAACACGGTAATGAACCTTTGGGTTCCATAAAATGCTAGGAAATTCTTTCCCCAAGAAGGGCTCAGCTCCATAAGTAAGTAAGTAATAATAATTTTATAATTATTAATGCAGTCACAGCTTCATAGCTTTGTGTCTGCATATCTGCAACAGCTGGCCACTTAGCAGTAAACATACAGTGCATATCCTTTAAACTAACATAAAATGTTATTTGTTTGGCAGATCTGGTGAAAAGTTCAGTGTCTGTCTTCAAATATATCTAATTCAGTTTTTAAGAAAGTGATAGGTTGTGAAACACTTTCTTTGTGCAAAGAAATTTGCTTTATTCATGCTGTAATGCTGAGAGATGAAGTGTTTTTTTTTCTTTCAGACATCTTTGTTGACCTGCTGAGATACTATTTAGCTTGTCATAACACCTAACATATTAGTTGTATATTTAACAAAAAGTTACTTACAAGCATAAAGAAAGAAATCAATTACAATTTTCAAAATTTTCTGTAGTGCAAAAATCATAATTGCATATGCAGATTATGTATGACTAGGTAACTGATATTCTCAGAGGTTATAAACAGTATAAAAATTATCAAAATGGAAAGCAAGAATGAGTGGTTGCTTCAGAAGTTTATAAAACAATACTTAAAGTGCATGAATTTACTTTTTGGGTATACTGTTTTTGTACTATTTGTTATGTATCACAAATTTAAATTGGTTTAAGTGTGTCACATTTCAGCTTCTTGCTGAATAATGATGCCGTTTTTAACATCCATAATAATAGACTGGATGCCAGAAGAGATGTAGAGAAAGTCGGTTACATTGTGAGCGATTTTGTCTTTACTTCAATGACAACCCACTTCTTCGGAAAAGCTTGTAGGTCCTGAAAAGGACCGTTGGCTGCTGGGATGTTTGGCTGGTGAAGTAGGGCGGTGCGCACCAGTAGAAAGGGATGTTGGTTGCGGTGTGTTGAGGCGGCTGAGTCAGTTGACTGGCCACAGTGCGGCCGTTGCTGGAAAACATTTGCTTACGAAGCGCGGTCGCAGGAGTGGAGAGGCGGTAGCTACGCCAGTTGCCCAGCATGTTGGGCATGACCACCGGCGAATCGAGGCAGCCGAGTTGCCCAGTGAGTCGGGTGAGACCGCCGGACAGCCGAGGCAGTCGTGCCTGGTGCAGTGAAGTGCCGATGCCTCTGAAGACCAAGCGCTGGTGACGAAGTGTGCTGTTTGTAGACTGCTTGAAGACTGTTGTGGAACTGATTGAAGACTGACGTGGAACTGACTTGGAACTGACGTGGAACTGATGTGCTGGGTTGGAGCTGCTTCTTTTTATACCCAGCTCGGTAGGCGGAGTGAAACTTGCATTTGAGGAGTCAACAATTTGCAGAGCGCTGATTGGTAGCGAAAATGAGGAGCAGAAATTTGCAGTGCGTGCTATGTGGGATGTCCCCACAACATTTATAGAGTTCAGAACAGGACAATTAAGCTTAACTTTATTTAGTCCATAATTATGATGGAGAAAAATAATCTGCTTAAAAAAGGAATATTTATTAAGAAAACAAACAAATTTTAGCACTTAAGAAAGAGAATACTTTAACGGTATATTACAGAAATAATGGGAGGAGTCTTACTGTAACTTTGCTTTACTCCTCTCAATACACAGTTTACTCAATAGCTGCCAAACTGATAACATTTCCATATTTCACAACACTAAATAAATAAATCTGTTATTCATTGTATATTCTGGTAGTCCTATTTATGATTATTAGCATTAGTTATAAGAAATATCTGGCATGATATGAAAAGTAATCATACAATAATCTGTCTTGAATTATATGTGCAATATATTTGTTACTGAAAAAACTGTATTCTGATTATGTTTCAATGACCAGAGTACCAGACTTAAGAAAAAACGATATATGGGTAATAGTTTGGGCAAATTGAAAATTTGAGCTTTTGGAATAAAGATTACAGAAAAATATAATATTTTGTACATATATATGAATCAATAATTGTAAACAGTTCTTGAAACCATAAGGAATATTAAGATTTTGATTCTCAACTTTAATCTGTTCACTGCCAATCATACTGTAACATGAACTGGAACCTCAATGCCAGAAAATAAAGTTCCTTAATTAAACTTCCTGTGAAATACAAGTATATGTAGAAGTGAGATTGAGGCTGCACCACAGCTCAAGCAGTTAGTCGCTGGCTTCCCACCGCGGCAGCCCGGGTTCGATCCCGGGTCTGGTCAAGTGGGATTTGTGGTGGACAAAGTGGTGCTGGGGCAGGTTTTCTCCAAGTACTTCAGTTTCCCCTGCCAATCTTCATTCCACCAATTGCTCCACAATCATCCTCACCTATCATCTGGGGCTGGTACAATAGGCCAGAAGTGGCCGCAGTACAAAGGACTTAGTCCCACCCCACAAACAATAAAAAAAATGTGAGATTTAAAAATGTATGGTCAAACTGTCATTTACAGCTTCTTTGTGGGAGCAGTTGTTTTGAAAACTGAAGTGACGAAAATCTGAAATAAAGGAAATTTAACACTGAATTGACTTGAGATCAACGAAATTGAATGTTAAATTATGGGAAAAATTTAATTCAAGGAGCATTAAATGGGGGTTCCTCTGTGTATAGAAGCTCAGCCAACAAGGTCTGATCTTGAAATTGCAAATGAACAGCTTTGGTGTGGCACATACAGAATGTATGTATATGTGTGTGTATATTTACAAGATATATATATATGTGAATGGATTAATATAAATGATCATTATTATTCATACAAATATCATGTTTTTGAACATTATCCATCGTCTTGGCTTTAACTAAAAGCTGTCCTGTTTATTTTTTAAAAAAAACTACGTTTCGGAGACTGAATTCTGTCTCCGTCTTCAGGTAAAACCTACTCAGTTGGCCCCAGTCGATAGACCTAGTCCCTATCTCCGGACCTAGATCTTGCTTATCATTCTTTTATTTTACAATGCAGGAGCAACTGGTTAGATTACTTTCTTTGTAGGTTCTCACAATGGTTTGTTGTTAAAGTTGTTTCCATTCTTGAATAGTGATGTTACAAAGTTCTGACTAGCATTCCAACATTTTGGAGAACCTGGCTGTCTCCATATTTGAGATAAATATTCAAGTTTACTTAGTTTATGTAACACTGAATGAGGTACTGTATGAGACTGTGAATTATGAATCGAAAGGGATGTGTGACGAAGTTGTTGTGGCCTCTTTTAATTTGCTATCCAGGTACTTACCTGGATGGACCACAGATAATCTCATTCAAGACATGGGCACCCCAAGATTTTTTTTCTTCAAAAGGGAGACAGCCATTAAATGTGCTTAGAAACTTAAATGCAAGCTATTTAAGACTTTTTTATAGATTGTCCTAGTGTATACAGGATGAAACTAACTCCATGGACCTTTGTCCTTTTTCAGAAGCCACCAGTAGCTCAGCTACTCAAGAATTCCCCAACATTTTATGGAACCTGAAGGTTCATCACCATTTTCTCTGTCCTGAGCCAGATCAATCCAGTCCATACTACCCCATTCTATCTCTCTAAGATCAGTTTTAATATTATACTCCCATCTAAGTCTAGGTCTTCATATTGGTCTCTTTCCTTTTCGCTTCCCCACCAAAATCCTTGACGCATACATCCTCCATGTATGCTACATGTCCTACAAATTTCATCCTCCTTGTCTTAATTATTCTGACTATACCTGGCGAGGAGTTCAAGTTATGAAGCTCCTCATTATGCAGTTTTCTCCAACCCCCCATTACTTCATCCTTCATTTGTCTATATATTCTCCTCAGCACCCTGTTCTCCAACACCCTCGGTTTATGTACCTCCCTTAATGTCAGAGACCAAGTTTCACATCTATATAAAACTACAGACAAAATTACAGTTTATATCCTACTTTTAGTCTAGCATAAATTGTGTTTAAGAGCATCGACGCTGGTTGATTCTCTACTCATGTTCCTACTTTTAACCAATTTACTTATTGCTCCTTGCTGTAGTGAGTAGATTGTAAATTCGCAGAGAAATAAATAAAAAAAAAAGATTCTACTTTTTACGTTTTTGGACAGCAGAATATAATTCAAATTGTAGTGTATTCAGGGCAGAAGAATATATGTTTAAATACTTTAATTTCTAGTATTCATATTTAGTATGTTTCCTGTTTTTCATTTTTGATTTTTAAAAAAATCCTTCGGGAGGGCGGGAGATGCCTGGACTTCACCTCATGCCGATGCCCATGCCCGACAGTTGTTCTGTCGGAGACTGAACCCGGGTATGTTATAATTACCAATCTGGTGTACTGAATTTTCAGCTAACTTTTTCAGCAATTATTTGCGTTATGTTGAATAAACGAACAAAACTTTTCTTGCTCACAAATTGTAAGCCTTATTTCCGTGGACCTGTAATAGTTTTTTACTCTGTGCAACACACCACACTTCTCGCTTATATGTGAGGATTCCTGGAAGTATAAATCTGCAGTCTTGTGGAATGTGACGACTTCTAGTCTGGTAGATACTTGTCGACCTTGCGGAAGAACTTTCTGCTTTCATCTGCGGGGCTGGTTCCTACACTGGTACCTATCTACCAGACTACATGGCGTCACATTTAAGAAGACGGCAACCTTGACATCGACTGCCAGGAGAACCTCAAATTGCAATACAAGCGACTGCTGCAATTAAAGCTCCACTGAAGACCATAACCCACATTTGAGTGACTTCTATTCGTATATTCGTCCTGTTGACTTGAGGTGTGTACGTAATGTCATTAGTTACGTCCATATCATCTATACCTTTAAATTTACACTGAGAAATGTGTTTCTCCAGACTTGCAGTCTATAGAACGTACACTTACATAGGTTCCGACCGTACCGGAAGACTATTACGTATACATCAACCATGAAGATGGAGGCAGTATATTCTTCCGAAACGTCGATATACACCTACAAGATTACACTTAGTCACAACCCAGAAGTTCACAATCTGAATAATTCAATTAATTTTTTACGCAGTGTTTGCCAACAGCCATTGGAGTAACACGCAAATACCCACTCGACGAACGGGTGCGTGTTTCCGTCTTTGCAGACAAAAACCACGCACCTCATTCTGCAACTGTATGCTGTCCTCAGCAAAGTACGTTCGTTACAATGGACGCATTTTGTGCTGTCGTGTAGACGCTGCCTTATTCTGTGTTCGTGTTGTCCTGTGAAGGTGACTGTCTTGAGCCCAGCCAATCTCCAGTAGGAGTCCTACCAGCTGTCTGTATGATTCACAGTTTCAGAATTAATGGTGAATGGGAAGAGGCCAGAGGGGGAGGAGATTATATTATTTTCTAAACATGTCTCCTCAAGGGCAAAGAGGCTAAATTAATCATTCTGCATCAGACTTGGTGTTTCTGAGAACACAAGGCCACGTTACTATTTCCGTTGTGCTCGATCAGACCTTACACTTGAGACCTTCACTGAGCAGATAGTGGGGATGCACTGTACGTTTTTCAGGAGAGGTACAAGAAGAAAAAAAGTGGCAAGAACCCAACATCCGGTTGCTACAGACGCCAGCTTGAGAAAGTATCTCAGCCGTCCTGTTGTAAGTTTCCTCTTCTTCTGTCATGTAGACAATGACATACTTTTCAGTTATTCAGTCGTGAGCATCTGGTTTTGTGTGTGAACCAAATAGCAAATAGCACAACAGGGACACGACCAGATTGGAGTGAATCAAGCCGTCTGCTTAACTAGTTCTTGCAAGCTCTGTTGAAATAACTGTGAAATTATTTAATAGGATGTTCCTTATTATTATCTGACAAGAACATGGCTTCCGTTGACGGATGCATACACAGATAATTGTATTAAGATTATGAAAGCGTGTGTAAGCTCCTAGTAAAGTAACATAGGCAGTGTTAACATACGGAGAAAAACAACGAAAAATTCGCAAAATTAAAAATATTCTCGAACAATTAACTTCATGGTGTACGGTATTTCTTAAAACGTTTTTAATCTTTCAGCTGGTTAAGAAATGCCCACTTTTATGGAATCCAAAGGCTCATTGTTATATAAAAAAATCGTCATTGAACCTTTTCCTGAGCCAACTGACTAACGTTCACAACTTCAAACCTTGTTTTCAGCCTACTTTCCTCATTTTGAAAAAAAAAAAAACAAGCTTATGCAATCTCCAAGTTGTCTGCGTGAGTCTATGCGTCTGTGTGGCTTGTGCCTTATGTTTCTGTTAATCCGTCCTTATTAACTTTTGAATGCCTGAACAGATCTTTATTAAACTTGATATGATATGGCACCTGAGCCCATTTCAACGGCGTGCCTCATAACTCCCTTCCATAAGGCTGTGTGTCTGTCTGTGTATCCCCTCTATCGTTGCTAGGCAAAGGCTCAGTAAAGTGTAAACCCTTATCGTTAATAGGTAACAACTCGGTAAAGACGTTCCCATTGCAACGAAGAATTGTTGGATGCGTCATTTTCTATTGGGTCCGTACCATATCAAAGAAAATTAGGAGATTAGTTCTTCCAAGAACTACTTGTTTTCAAATATATTTCAATATTATCCTTCTCTCTGCGTTTATGGCAACAATTAATACAATATTCATAATACAGAAGCTGACTCAAGACTCACATCGCATTGTTCAAGCCAGAATATTTTACCCCCCCAATTTTTTTCTTTAAACACAGAATAATAAGATTATTGGAACTATGCTCTTATACACGCGCATATGATATGAGTTGCTCAGGGAGGTGAATATTAAGACTGCAGTCTTGTGAGATGTGACACCGTCTGTTTCGGGAGAATTTTACGACCTATACGGAGGAACCTGCCCCTATCACCATTTCTTCTATGCTAAAGACAAAGAGATGACAGATAATTTCAGAGCACTGCTAAACCTCTATCATACCGCACGGCGCTGAAGCCCACGAGACTGCAGGGTTATCTCTTTGGTAATTCTGACGCATGAGTGCGAAGCTTGGTGTGACACACAGAGGAGAAAAATATTACAAGTTCACAAAACAAGGTTTAAAAGTTTGGGTTAAGGGAAAGAGATTGAAATTAACAGCTCTTATAGCGCGAGGAACAAGAAGTGTGCGGAGAAATGTCGTTGCAAAATGCAATGAAAGCAGCCACTTGAGAGATCGGGTAAAAGATGGAGGGATAATATTAAAATAGATTATGAGAAACCTGCATTCGAGGATACAAACTTGTCTGTACTGGTTCAGGACAGGATTCAATGGTGTACTATTGCAGTGTTCTTCAACTGTTGTGTTGAGGTGTTATTATAAGTGTGTCGAGGCATTTTGATCCAAATATGATAGTAGTTCACAAAGCATGATAAGAGCAGTGAGACCTCTTTCAGCCCTGTTCTGTCATCTCATCTTTTCCTCTACTTTATTTTTTATATGACTATCTGGATATTTTTTATAGTTTTTTATAGAGATCAACGTCTTTTCAGAGCTTTTCCAGAATATTAATTACTAAAAAATTACTTTGTCCGCGATTCTTGTGATTTTAATTACATTCTATACACTTAATATTTTATGTAAATGATCATAAACGCGCGCACACAAATTCAGTATGCAACCATGTGGACAAGTTGAGAAACAACAGGTTATTTTTTTTTTTACAGAAGTTCATGTGTGTTTCCCGGCTCATTTTCTGGAAATAATTGGACTCGACTACGAGACCCTCGCCTCGAGGTTCATCCTCCCACCAAGGTCGTTGATTCCTTCTACAGTTCCGGCTTCGGTCTGTGTTTAGTGGGCCAAGCAAGCAGCTGTAAAGCAGAGTGAATACTGACCGCTTAGCTGAATGGGGATTTCATTGTACAAAATGGCACCCTCGTTCGACATGGCCACTGAACTGAAACTAATGACCATCATCTCTAATACCGTATTCGATTTGTAATTTACCAAAATTAAAGCACAGTACAACCTGAGGATTGTAAAATAAGTGTAAACAAATATGAAATTTATAAATGTGTAGGACCAGACCTGATTTAATCTATTTAAATTAATGAAAATTTCAGTATTCTTCTATTCTATTAAATTGTTCTATGATTTGTTACTGTCTGTCTGTCTGTCTGTCTGTCTGTCTGTCTGTCCGTCCGTCCGTCCGTCCGTCCGTCTATCTATCTATCTATCTATCTATCTATCTAT